ACTTGTTTCCTAAGCCTATTTCTTCTAATAATTGCTTCTTCTACCTCTGTGATTTACCAAATAAATATTCTCTTGCAGAAAAAGAGAAAGTAATACTTGTTTATTTTTTTAATTTAAATTTTAAAAATTGGAAAATACAGGGTGGGTGGAGCAAAAGTAGATTTACAGTTGTATGTGAAACAGAGTTTATTCTTGTATTATTATTATTTATTATTGTATTATTCTCCATATGAACAACTGTAAACCTACTTTTGCCCCACCCTATATAGACAGTAAAAAATCGGAATTTCGTAGTTTACCCATAAATAATCTCAGTTTTATGTATTAATACATAAGTATATACTCCTGTAAGTCTATATGTAGATAGGCTTAACATGGAGACTTTGATTCTTCCTCAGTGGGGGTTTGGGGCCTCTGAGTATTGTTTGCTTCAAAGAAATAGTTCCCAACATGTCTGCTAACCCTTTTGACAGAAACATAGAATCAGTAATCCAGGGATTAAGAGCCAGCATTGTGATTTGGAGTTTGATGAATTGTAGCTAGACCTAAGACCAAGAAAATGAAGTTGGGTAGGGATTTATTTTTCCAACAGCCTGAATGATTGAGGGTTATGACTTATTATAAGGAGGGAATTTCTGCTTACTAAGATATACTATATGAAAGGTTAATGGTTGGTGGTGGTACATGGGTAAGCTAAATAGCTATCTTAGATGGGTGAATAAAGAAAAATTAAATTTATTAAAAGGGGATGGGTATACCCAAAAAGAAGGGCTACATAGCACTGAGCCAAAGGGTATTGGGTTCATGATGGCAGCAAAAATATTCTTGGGACAGTGAAACAAGACAGAGCATAGAAGAAGCAACAGGAGAGCCGAGGCTGGGCTGCTTTGGCTCACTGAGAAGTCAGAGAGAGAAAGGGGCCTTGGAGACAGGTTCAAGGGGTAAAGCCCCTGCCCATTGCTCCCCTGTGCAAGTCTCATGGGATCCCCTCAGAGGGATGGAGATGGCGCTGGTGGGGAGCACATGCTGGGTCCTTTGTCCTGAGTGTATTTATCTCTTGCAGGTGGAACTTTTAGGGAGGGTCTCAGACAAGTGTCTCAATAGAATATTCATCAGCTTTCCAGGTTCCTCTTTCAGGGTTGTGGTCTCCACTGATTGGCCCAGGCCAAGGCAGGGGTTCATTAGTCAATGTATCTGGTCGTGAGTCAGCCATGGTGCCACTTGTCTGGTTTCTGCTGCTTATCTGGGCCTGGAGTGGAAATACAACTGAGGCCTAGATGTTATCTTTAGAGAGGTACGTTCAGGGGGACTTAAACCTTATGACCAGTGATATGCTGGGGGAGGATAGGTTACCCTGGGACAAGATTCTTACTTTCCCAGTTTCGCCCCTCAGTGGGCATCTGGGGCTTCCTGCCCTGTTGAGTCTCTGAAACCTAGTTTCTGTACCTGGCCCCTGTACCAGGCCCATCTAACACTATATTAAAGTGAATGTCCTTGAATATTTTCTTAGTTTTTCCTTCATCTTTTTCAGTTAAACAGGTATTTAATTAATATCAATTACAATCAAGTCACTGTTCTAGATCTCCTTTATGCTCATGTTATTTTATTTTAATTTTTAAATTAATTATTAGAATTTGGGCCCAGCCGTGCGTGGCTCAGCAGTTGAGCTTTGACCTAGGATCCAGGCGATCAGGGTTCGATTCCCGGTCATGCCCGGGTTGCGGGCTGCAGCCGATCAATGACTCTCTCATCATTGATGTTTCTTTCTCTCTCTCTCCCTCTCCTTTTCTCTCTGAAATCAATAAAGATATATTGAAAAAAAAAAAAAGAATTTGGTAACACATACTGCACAATAAGTTGTACAGTGAAAAGCAACTCTTCCTTCCCACTCCTGTACCCCAGTCACTTGATCCCTTCAGCTGCTCAATCCTCCTCAAACTCTGCACTGGTTTCTTATATATTGTCCCAGAGATAACCCAAGCATGTATAAGAATCTGTGTGTATAATAGTCTTTTTCTCACACAAATAATGCTAGCATACTGTGATAGACTCATTTTGGTAGCCCTTCCAAAGAACTACACCTCCCTGTATTTAAGTCCTTACGTAATTACCTCTCGTTTGACTGAACTTGGCCATGTGACTGGATTTGAGGTGAACTAGTAAGTGTGATGCAGGGACAGGATTGATATGTGCTTGCCCATTGGCACCTGTTCTCTGGGAATGCTCACTATTGTGACATGCCCTCTCAGAACCCACAAACCACCAATTGTGAGCTGTAACCAACCTAGCCAATAGAGAGGCTGCTTGAAGAGAACTGAGGTCCCTGTGGCCAACAGTTTCCAGACTGTAGCCAGCATCAACTTGCCAGTCATGTGATGAATGAACCGTCTTGCAAGTGGAACCTCCAGCCCCTGCAGTCCACACCAGAAGATGTTATGTGGCACAGAGATCTAGGTTTCCATACCAAACCCTGTCCAAATCGAAAAACTGTGAGCATTCGTTATAAGCCACTAAACTTGGTTTGTTATGCAGCAGCAGATACCTGAAGGTACTAGATATTCTGTGCTTTGCTTTTTTTCACTGAACGATATATTAGATATCAGTCTATTTCAGTGTTTACAGAGTTGCCTTATTCTTTTTAAAAGCTGGGTAATATTTCATTGTATGTCTGTGAAATAATTTAATTAATCATTCTCTTATTTACAGATATTTATGTTATTTCCAATCCTTTGCTGCATGCTGTCTTTTACATATGAACATAAATATTTATTGGCTAAATTTTTAGATATAGAGTGCTGAGTCAAAGAATATGTGAATTTGTAGTTTTAATAGGTATTACCAAGTTGCCTTTCAGAAAAGTGACACTCCTACTAGTTCTGAGGATCCAGTCAAAGGGTACCAATCTGAGTGATGAAACTGCCACAGTGAGGCTAGGATGTTACATTTCTCCTTTAGTAGTATTTTTATATATTAAAAAGCCATTTGCATTTCCTTTTTAATGACATGCCCTCTTTTTTCTGTTGGATTGTTGACCTTTTTCTTCTTTGAAAGAGCTCTTTGTATATTAATACATTAGCTCTTAGTTTGCTTAATGTGAAGCAAAGCTTTTTTCCCCTCAGTTTCTTAATTATCTTTTGCCTTGGTTTGAGCAGTTTTTTCTCTTATTATAGTTAGATATATCAGTCTTTATAGCTTCTGGATTTTCTTGTTCTTGTCTTGTCATATTTAGACTTTCCTCACTCTGAGATTATAATATATTTCCCTATGTTTTCTTCTAGTATTTTATTATTTTGCTTTTTATAGCTTCTTTTTAAATCTATCTGAAATGCCTTTTGATATATAGGTTCTAGATTTATATTTTTCCAGATAGGTTTCTGAGGTGACTATCCAGTTGTTAATTATACTGTTGAGCCATGTCATCCTCATATACATTTCCATATTTAAACCATATATAATTTCAGTTTATTTACTGAATCCAGCAACCCTGTTTAGTTGCTGTCCCTTATATTACTTAATTATTCCTTTTTTTCTATGCTATTTTAGGAAATAGTGAATATTTTTAAAAACAATTCTTTATAATTATTAATCTCAAGCTAGCATATGATTTCCTTCGTGGATATACAAATTAACATTTATAATCTCTTTTAACAGTTGTTTAAACTTTCAACTTGTTAAGCTGCTCAAAAGCTGAAGTTAGATAATATGGCGATCAATTCATGTACTTGAGATTCATCTGAAGATAAGTATGATGTATAGGAATAGAGAGTAACATGCTTTTTTATCATGTACTATATATAAGGGCCTGTTCCCAAATTTCTAAAATATGTAATAGTACTAGTATAAAAACTATATCTAATTAAGAGAGTGCTGAGGCTGGGACCCTGTTAAAGAAAATTATGTCATGTTAATAGAATCGCTGAGGCCACATCATTATGAGAAGAAATCAGGAAATTATACTTGTACTATGATACATTAAGAAAATGGGTCCATTTAATTTGGTGATGCACTTGTAATTTTATTTAATGAGTAAAGCTGTCCTGAGCACCCAGGATGTCACTGACACTCAGCGAAGGCAGAACTGAGAAGTTCCATATTAAACCCAACTTCCTGTTCTTCCAGCTTTCCCCCTCCTGCCCCTCTTGGCCCAGCTCAGCTCCCCTGACTCAGGGGGCATACTTCCGGATCTTTTTTCACTGGATATGTGATCTGACCCCATGGGGCCTGGAAGGTCTGCATTTGGAACATGTGCCCTGTGGTTGTTAAGGTTAGTTAATCCCTGCTGAGAGATTGTACAGACACACCTAGAAGGAGATAGAGAATTAAGGTGTTACCTAATCTTTGTATTTGCACTGCAGCAGGATCCCTAAACTTACAGCTGAAAGGACCAAGTTTTGGTGGGGGAGGGTTGCAATTTCAGTTATCTACCAGTGCTGGGGGAGGCGCACTTGGGACACCTGTGGGCTGCTGTGCTTGCGGCCTCTCTCATAGGCCTGCATGCTTGTTCTGTGCTTGTAAACTGTGTCATGCTCTCCTTTCCCACAGTCACCTCCACGTTTTCTGGGTAAGAAAAAACATTTCACTGAGGTAGACAAGTTGACTTCTAGGTTCAGAATCACAGAATGTCAGACCTAAAAGGAACCCATCTGAACCCTTTTGTTTGATAAATACAGTTGACCTTTGAACAACACAGATAAGTGGATCTGTGTTCAAGGCTCAGCTTTTTAGATCTGAAATTGGGAATTCATGGATGTGGAAGGCCAGATGTCAAGTTTTTGAAGCAGATTTTCGACTGTAGGAGTTGGTGCCCCTATCCCCTGCATTGTTCAAGATCAACTGTAATGTCTATATAGCTTTGTTTCCCTGCATTTTATGCTCTTGTACTCTTGGGATGTTTTGACACCAGTGGCATTGTTTTCCATTTTCTCAGTGCCAGACAAGCTGGGATATTTTAGGGAAAAAATAGTTTTAAGAATAAAACAAATTATTTCTTTTTCTTTTAGGTTCTATCTAAACTTTCTTTGCCCGCTTGTGGCTGGGAACCAGCAATGAAGCAGAGTTTCGCTTTTGACAATGTTGGCTACGAAGGTAGTCTGGACAGTGTGTGCCCTTCACAGACAACCACCGGCACCATCAGCATTTTGGGCATGACTTGCCAGTCATGTGTAAAATCTATTGAGGGCAGGATTTCCAGTTTGAAAGGCATTGTGAGTGTTAAGGTTTCCCTGGAACAAAGCAGTGCAGCTGTGAAATATGTGCCATCGGTTATAAGCCTGCCACAGGTTTGCCGTCAAATTGAGGACATGGGCTTCGAGGCCAGCATTGCAGAAGGAAAAGCTGGTTCCTGGCCTTTAAGGTCCTCGCAAGCCCTGGAGGCTGTGGTCAAGCTTCGGGTGGAGGGCATGACCTGCCAGTCCTGTGTCAGCTCCATAGAAGGCAAGATTGGGAAGCTGCAAGGAGTAGTGAGAGTCAGAGTCTCACTCAGCAACCAAGAGGCAGTCATCACTTATCAGCCTTATCTTATTGAACCCCAAGACCTCAGAGACCATGTCAACGACATGGGTTTTGAAGCTGTCATCAAGAACAAAGTGGCTCCTGTAAGCCTGGGACAAATTGATATTGGGCAATTACAGAGCACCAGCTCAAAGACACCTTCAGCTTCTAATCAGAATGTCAATAACTCTCAGGCCTTGGGGCACCAAGGGCGCCATGTGGTCACCCTGCAACTGAGAATAGGTGGAATGCATTGTAAGTCTTGTGTCCAGAATATTGAAGGAAATATCAGCCAACTCCCAGGGGTTCAAAATATTCAGGTGTCCTTGGAGAACAGAACTGCCCAAATACAGTACCACCCTTCTTACATCTCCCCAGGGGCCCTGCAAAAGGCCATTGAGGCTCTTCCACCAGGGAACTTTAAAGTTTCTCTTCCTGATGGAGCAGAAGGAAGTGGGACAGATAACAGATCTTCTACACGTCACTCTCCTGCCCTCACCCAGAGAACCCAGGTGCAAGGCTCGTGCTGTACCATGGTGCTTGCTATTGCTGGCATGACCTGTGCATCCTGTGTCCAGTCCATCGAAGGCCTGATCTCCCAAAGGAAAGGCGTGCAGCAAGTATCAGTCTCTCTGGCTGACGGGACTGGAACAATTCTCTATGATCCCTCTGTAATTAACCCAGAAGAACTCCGGGCTGCTGTAGAAGACATGGGATTTGAGGTTTCGGTCGTTTCTGGTATGTAATTAATACTGTTAATGAGCACTCTGGGGTTGTCTCCTTTCTCTTTGTGTCTTATGGTATCGTACCTGTGTGGTTGGACAGGTGAGCCACATTCACTGCCTCACATGTGGACCTTGATAACAAAATTCTGCAACTTTCCCTTGGTAAGTTTTTCAGGCTAGAGGAAATATAATTTCCAAGTATTTATTTAGATTTTGCCTCTCATGCAGCTGGGACTAAGTTGCTGAGGTCCTTAGAGTCTTGGCTTCTTTTCTGAGCAGAACCCTGATTCTGTTTTTATTTGTTTTTAAAAAGAGTACAATAGGAACACCAGGCCCTTCTCTGACCAAAGAAATCATTATCACTTTCTCTGAAGATTTCTCTGCTAAACAGAACAAAATCATAAAAATAATGTCACATAGTCTCACCATCCAGAGCCCATTGTCTTGTAAGTGGGAATTAAAGAAAGGATTTAATGATGATTTCCTTTGCCCCCCTTAATGACTATGAGAAGATGGGTATGGTGACATTTTCCACAAAACACAAGGTGTCCACATACCTTGTTGTCACCTCACTAGACAGAGTTTCCAGGGTTGTGGCCGTCCCTGCTTTCCCCTCTTCTCTATGACCGGTTACTTGCTGATTTTCTTTCATTTTCATTACATGGGAGCTTGGCAAATGTAGCATCACTTCTGCCATGTGCCAGGACTGTGTGAGTTGTAGGCTACTGAATGAGTGCCACACAGTTTCTCCTGAGAGCTTATAGTTGTAGTGAGAGGGGTTCTGAGAGGAGGAAACCATTGCAGTGTAGCGGGACAAATCTTGTGCAAGCCCAGGCAGGGAGCACCTGAGCCAAGGTCTAGGCTTAGGAAGACCTTCTCTGAGATGGTGTGTGGGAGTCAACCAGTCAGGGACAGGGGACTGGGGTGGGGCAGGAGGGATGGGGAAGTGACCAGGGACAAAACAGCCTGGCAGTGGTCTGAAGGCCTGAGAGGCAGTGCAGTGTTTGGGGAAGCTGCAGAGGAGAGGAGAGTGGCCTGAGTGTGAGGACTTGGGAAGGGTGGCAGACAGTGGCTGGGCCACCTCAAATGGGGCTTGCATGTCAAGCTGAGTTTAGACTTTATCATAAAGGCAAGGGGAGTCACCAGAGGAAGCCCAGATCAGATTATGTTTTAGAAGAGCAGTCAGTATCAGTGGGGGTTGAGGCAGTGAGATCACATAGGAGGCTGGGTGAGAAATGATGTGGGCTGGAGAGCAAGAGGTAGATTTGAAAGACACTCATGTCAGATCCACCAAGTTTGGTGTCAGATTAAGGGTGTGTGTGATGGGGGGAGGCTAGGGAGAGCCTGGGATGAGCCCCAGCTGAGGTAGATGCTAGACGTTGGCTGGGTTTATGAGTCCTGAATTTTGGGGAGAGTGGAGCTGGAAATGCACATTTGAGTGGTTGGAGCCAGGGTCTTGAGATGATGGAAGACGCAGGAAGAGTGAGTGTGAGAAGGGGAGGAACAGAGGAGGAATGTGGTGGCTCTGGTGTGAAAGAAAGAGGAGCACCTGCCCCCATCACACACATTCTTAATTTGACACCAAACTTGGTGGATCTGACCTGAGTGTCTTTCAAATCTACCTCTTGCTCTTCAGGCGAGTGACACAAGAAGAGGAAGAGTCCTGGAAATAAAGGAAGAGTGTCCAGAGAGGCTAAGGTTTAACTAGGAGGAGACCATTGGCAGGAGTTGCTCACCACCTACATGGTGGTAAGGAGGTGCAGACCTCCAGTAGCTTGGGCCTGGAAGGGACGGAATGGGGTAGAAGATAGTGAGGGATGATTGAGAGAGAGGCTGAAGATGAGGGAGTGTGGGACATTTTGTGAAGGACAGCTATGGGGTGGTAATGTTTTTACTGTTTAGATCCCAAGATACAGGCCCTGCATGTCAGTGCAAACGCAGGCTGGACTAGGATGTGGACAGTTTCTCAGCTTCTGGCTAGAGCTTCATGCTGGAAGGGAGAGACTGGTTCATCACTAAAAAGAGATTGCGGGCAAAGCCCACTGACCACACTCAGGGCCAGGTGGACTTGAGTTACCCATGTCCATGTTCCCCATTTTCCAACCACCACTGAGATATAATATTTCTCCCAGGAAAGTTGCTCTGTTGTGATACTTTCCTGCACACACCCACCCTTTAAAAGGAGTGGATAAGTCAGGTGGAGTGACTTGGCCCCATCTGTACTTTGTCTTTGTACCAAGTTTCAAGAAGGAGGTGTTTTTGTGTTGTTGTCTTTGGTCTATGTTTGTTTTTAAAAAATAGAAATCAATAAGGAAAGCACAAAAGAACAGTAAATCTGTACTCAAAAGGGGAGAAATGTAGTATGGAGTAATCGTCTGCTATATTTGCGTGAGGTTTAAGGTCTTTTAACAATGGAATCAGGTTATTGGCAGTAAAAAGACATTTGTATTGAACTACATAATCCAGAATATTTGGATTTAATTAAACTTAAAAAAAAGGAAAACCACAATGATTTTTCTTGCCCAGAGTTATAAGAGTTATGATAAACCCAAGAGGTATTTAGGATATCAGATTTACCAAATAAAAATATAGGATACCTAGTTAAATGTGAATTTCAGATAGATAACTATTTTTTAGTATAACTGTGCCCCAAACACTGCATGGGATATACCTATACTGAAACATTATTCGTTGTTTTTCTGAAATTCAGATTTAGCTGGACATTCTGTATTTTACCTGTCAATCTTAGTTTAGGATAAACCCTAAGTGTGCTATGACTACCCTTTAGAGCCACTTAATGTTAAACAGGCATCGTTGTGTTCGATTATTCATCCTAGATTGAAGAGGAACTCCTTGAGGACAGTCTTCAAACCATGTGATTCATTTCTCCTTTGACTCAGTGGCACCCACCACATAGTAGGTATTTGTGAAGGAAATGAAAGAGACAGAAAATAATGGGCTGTTACCAGCAGGGTCATGAGGTAGCTCAATGGAGGGCTTTAACCCAGGGAACTGTTTACAGAGATGATAGCTGAAAAACCAAAGAGAATGGGAAGGAAACCCAAGAGATTAGTAATAGCAGAAGCTACCACCTCCAGGCAGGTGGGTCTGAGGGAAGAGCCTAGGGTTGAGGTTGCCTGACAGCAACTGGTGCCACTGAAACTAAGAAGGGAAGGGCTATTGCTAGGCCCTGGCCAGTGTTGCTCAGTGGTTAGAGCATTGCCCCATGGACCGAGGGGTCTTAGGTTCGATACCCAGTCACGAGCATGTACCTGGGTTGCAGGTTCAATTCCCCAGTCCCTGTTGGGGTGCGTGTGGGAGGCAACCAATGGACATATATTGATGTTTCTCTCTCTCTCTCTCTCTCTCTCTACCTCTCTTCCGCTCTCTCTAAAAAAATCAATGGAAAAAGTATCCTCTGGTGAGAATTAACAATAACAAAAAGAGGCTTTGGGCAGGGGCTGGGGTCACAGTAGACAGATGGGAAACACTTTCATTTTCCCCCCTTTCTGTACTATTGTTTCCCACTTTTTACCTCCTGGGTGCCAAATTTAATCAGAAACCAGTTGACAAGGGAGCCTGGGAAAGTGATTTGCAGGGGTCAGAACCCTTGATAATGGAGCAACGGGCAAGAAGGGAAGGGCCTGTGAAAACACATAGGCAAGTGACAGGCTTTGAATTTCAACCAGCTTATTTTGTTACTGAACTGAAGGGGGTTTGTTTGCCTATGCACATCAAAGGCCAATAAGACATGAACAGGAGTCTGCAGCCAAGAAAGTAAGGATTTATTAAGGAGGTGGCACCATGCCCGGAGTCACAGGTAGCTCGTGCTTGATGACCTGGCTCCTCGGTGGCTTCCAGGGGATGGATTATATACAGAAAAAAATCATTAGTCATGGTGACTAAAGGAATTAGAGTCGTGGTCTCTACTGATTGGTTGGTGCTAAGTTGGGAGTAATGGATCATTGCATTTGGTCCTGATACCAGCCGTGGTATTGCTCTGTCCAACTTCACATGTATTTGTTCTGTCCGATCTTCCTACTTTCCTGTGTCAGGAGCTAAAACACAACCGAGGCCAAGATATGGTCTTTAGTAGGATTTAAAACTGTCTCAATAGTCAATAGACCCACTACCTTGTTCCTAAGACTACTGGATGCTGCCCAGAGCCTCATTGTCCTGAGGGCTTAATAATTAAGCAAGGAAGAAAGGGGTGGGTGAGTCAGGGCACTGGGTGAGGCCAATTTGAGTCAAAGGAAAAATCAAAATAAAAGTCCAGATTAAAAAAAATAAGGTTTCTGTGTCGTTACAATTTGACAGCTGAAAATACATTTAGACCTGGTTTTTATCTAGAAGGCAGCTCTGCATCTGTTCACTGATTTGCATGGTAACTGTTTTTTGAATTAATGAATAAATGGATGGAGAGGTGGATATATGAGTATATTGTGAGGAAACGTCATCTGTTATGTATAACGTATTCCTCTCACTGTTGTAAATGTGTAATGCCACTTTTAGGGCATGGTTCTCTTGTAGCAGCATGTGTTAAGGATCTTATGGGTCCCAGGCCCTCTGCTGGCTTCCATGAATTGCTCAGAGGAGTCTAGCAATTGCCTGTATGTGGTTCATACAGGGTAGCAGACCACAGAGACCCATCATCCAAGGCAGGTTTAGAATAATTGCGACAAGTAAGGTGTAGGTAAAGGAGAAAATCCAGCATCTGGTTGTAGGGCTCCCAGAGACTTGATGGTAGAGGTAATGTTGGAGCAGGGCTTGGATAGGATTTCAGAGTGGATAGGATTTCATCAGGCACACTGGGCAGAGAAGACATAAGCATAGGCCCACAAGTAGGAGTCCTCCAGGTATATCTTGAAAGCAGTCTGGCTTGGATGGAGCTTGGTTATAATTGATGGGAGATAAGGTTGGACAGGTCAGCCCCCTTGTCCACGCCACCATCATATGTCTCCCAGATCCTTCAAGAGGCTCTGAACTGGTGCCTCTGTTAGCTGATTTTCAACCTTGCTATGTGTCCCCTTCCCAGCATTATAGAGATCTTGTTATTCTAGTGATGCTCCAAAACTCTCCCTTCTCATATTATAAGAGGAAGAGCCCTTATGGTGATCTAAAAGCCCCCTCCGTCACCCATTACCTTTCGGGCCCCTTTCAATTCCTCATATCTGGTTGGTCTCCCCTTAAGGTCTTGTACTTGCTGTTCTCTCTGTCTGGAATTCTCTTCCCCTAAAGTTCACATGGTTCACTTTAGTTCATATATGGTCTTGTAGACTTTTCCCAAAGCATATATAATTTATATTTAGAAATAGGTAGGTTTGTATTAGACATAGTTTTGTAATTTCTTTTCTTCTCTGCAATTTATCATAATCACCCTTGTTAGTTCCATTCTTATGTCTGCAATACTACACATTCAGTGGCTGCATAGTGTTCCATCATATGGATGTATTGTAACTTACTCAGTTTCCTCTTAGACTATTGCCATCTATTTTGTGTGCAGGTGATTGTAAACAATACTGATGGACATCTTTCAGGCTAAATATTTGTGTACATACTTTATTAAATATCTGAAAGCGTAAATGCTGGGTCACAGGGTATAAACATTATTTAATTCCATCACAAATATTTGTTATGCCTCTCCTAAGTAGCAAGCAGTTAGAGGTATTGTTTTTAATAATACATATTTCCAAGTAGACTTCCAGGAAGCCTAATCAATTTATATGCTCACCCATAGTGTTCACATAGATTAATAAAGATCCCAATAGCATAAGCTTGTTTGGGTTTGTGTTAATTTATTTCAACTTTCTTTAGCAATCTCCAGAAGCCCAGAATTTAGTTGAATGTTGAAGAATAACAATGTGTAAATTGTAGGTTAGTAAGGGTATGAGATGCTTTATAATAGCACAAATATTATTGAAATTGTTGACCACAATATTTGGATAGAAAGGCAGGTGAATCCAGAAAATAGCTGATGGTCTGGGAAAATAGGGAGAGGTTGGATAGATGCAGAGGGCCAGTGGGTACAGGAGGTGGAATGTTAAGAGGTGACCACAGAATAGATTTTGTGAGTTTGAGGCTCCAAGGGTAAAGTCATTTTGAACAATGATAAAGTCCAGGAAAGAAAACCATGCTGGTGGGTGAGGTGATGTCTCTCTCAATATGGTAGGGATCCTGGAAGGCAAGGGTGCTGAGGGTCTTCCACAATGATGCTGAAAGTGTCGATTAACTGGACTCTTAAAGTGAGTAGAAGTTGTTTGAGCATATTTCAGGAAATGAGCAAAACATCCCAAGATATGATATTTATTCAGAAGGGAAACTTAAAAGTCATGGTCTGTTCTCAATGCAGGTTAATACCAACTTTTACCTTCTGCAGCTATGGGTTTTCAAATGGGATTTCATCATTAAATGATGTGATTATCTTTTCTACATCCTCTTATAGGTATTTTGTGTCATCAAAATAGTGTGGCTTTTTGGAGTGATGAAAACATTCTGTATCTATCTGTTTGACAAAATCAATTGTATTTATATGTACATATGCAGAAGGAAGAACAATGGCTTCCCAAAATGTCTGCACCCAAATCCTTGGAATTTAGTGGGGAAAGGATGGTTTTTTCAGTATGTAGAACCAGATTAATAGGATATCCAAGTGGAAAGAAATTAACCTTGTCTATCAACTCGCACTAACACAAATGTTAATTTGAAGTGTATCATAGACCTGAAGTAGAAGTTTCTTAAAATAATAAAGCTTTTAGAAGAAAATGCCATGAATATTTTCACAATGTTGATGTAGAAAATATATTGATAGAGCACAATACGCTGATCATTAAAGTTATTTATTTGATTGATAAGTCGGGCTTTATTAAATTAAGGACTTCTTTTATCAAAAGAGACACCATTAGATGAGAGTGAAAACACAAACCACAAACTGGGAGCAGGTATATGTAGTTCATTCCACTGACAAAGGATTCATGTCCAGAATATATGTAGAACTTCTGCCAACAGTAAGAAAAAGACAACTCAGTAAAGGTGTTTCAGGTCATTTTGATTCTCATGAGGAGGGAGTGAACCTCTGCTAACTAGAATGTGATAGCAGTTAAAGGGACAGATCCTGGAATGAAACAGACCTGGTTTAAAGCTAGCTTCACTACTTACGACCTGAGGGGTTTGGGTCAAATTATCTAATTTCTTGTAACTCATTTCTTCATCTATAAAATAGGAATAATAGTAGTATTTACCAATAGGTATTTTAAGATTAAAGGAGGTCACACATGTGCCTAGAGTGCCTGCTGAGTTCTTGTTATTGTTATCTAATTAGAGCATTCATCTAGCCAGATCATTCTGTTCTTGAAGTATTGGCATATTTCATGTGTCTGTAATTGTGTGCCTCTGTCTCTGTGGGAAACGAGAGACAGTGATGAGAACACCAACCCGTGTTGCCTTTCCAAGCTTTCATCTGAATATTGTCAGGCTTGACCCTCCTGCTGTGAAGAAAACCCCAACTATTTGTTCTAATTTGAATGATTTCTGATACTTTATTCCAGGAAGCTGTTCTGGCAACCATGTTGGAGAGCACAGTGTGGTGAATTCCACAGTGCAAACTACAGTTGGCACACCTGTGTCTGCACAGAAAGTGGCTCACCACGCTGGGGGGCCACCTAAAATCCACAGCCCTGACCTCTCAGTGAAGTCCCTGCAAGCCTCCGCAACAGTGGCCCCACAGAAGTGCTTTTTACAGATCACAGGCATGACCTGTGCATCCTGTGTGTCTAACATAGAGAGAAACCTGCAGAAAGAAGCTGGTAAGAGACCTATATCCATGTTACACTGGGAATGATATGTCTGGACTGTCCAGATATAGTCAGCAAAATGGGGCACCATGCTGTCCCTTCAGTCTGCATTGATTATCAGTAGCCCTGATAAGCTGGTAGCAGGTTCATTAGGTGATAGTATAGATGTTTGTCTAATGTTTGTGAGCAGTTGGCATCTGTTCTTTTAGAAGTATTTAGTTTGTTTACAATAAAATGTGTCTCTGAGTAAGTTAACCATGGGAATTCCAGGTTAGAGGTCATGGCACATTCCATGGGTAGCCTCCTCAATTAGCTTGTCCTAGTAGTATCTTTATCTTTCTCCTCCAATTCCATCAACCTCTTACTATCAAGTGAATAAATAGCCTGCATTTTGTGAAGTTCCAGTTTCAAATATTTCATTGTTTTGTCCCTGTAAACTGTAGAGTGCTGTGAAATTACCAAAGTCTTTTCCTCCAAACTACATTTTCAGTGTTCTCTTAAACCTGAAAGTGCAACAAAAACCTGTCTCGATTTTTTGTTCGAAAATATTTTAACCATGACCCTCCCATGCCACCAGAGTTAGAAAACTTTTTCTCTTTTCTCGCTTCAGTGGTTCGTTTATCTTTCTGATCCGTCTCCCTGGCCCTTAGAATCAACCCTAAATTAGGATGACATTTTTTCCAGCCTCTTTTTACCTCCCTGGAGCTTTAGAATGACCATGCTCAAATTCAGGTGTTACAGGACTTCCTTTTTCATCCATGGAACCACTACCCATAAAATTAATCTGGATCTCACAGTGCCTATGTTTCTGTTCCTGACTTGAATCCCTTATTTTTATCCCTTATGGCATTCTTAAAGCACATCATTACTTTCATCTATTTCAATAAACCCTTTTCCTCCCTTAAACAGATACAATAGTGTTAGCAAAATAGTCTGTGGGATTTCTTTTTTTTTTTAAACATATCTTTATTGATTTCAGAGAGAGGAAAGGAAGGGGGACAGAGAGATAGAAACATCAATGATGAGAGAGTCATTCATTGATCAGCTGCCTAGCCCGCAACCCGGGCAGGTGCCCTGACTGGAAATCGAACCCCAATCTCCTGGATCCTAGGTTGATGCTCAACCCCTGAGCCACACCTGACTGGGCCGAAACTGAAAAAGAGTATGGAAAACCACTTTTGAAAGTTATTTTTGTTTATACGAAAGCTACTGAAGAAAAAATATATCTTTAATGTAACAGCAATTGCTAGCTGCAGGCTATATCCCTTACTTTCAGGTGCATGCACCCATCAGTGTCTTCTAGAGCCCGACTCAAAGTGGCCCCCTGGGTCAGCAGCATGGGATCACCAGAGAGGTAGCTGACCTGCAGAACCTCAGACACCACCCCAGGCCCACTGAACCAGAATCTGTAGTTTAATAAAGTCCTCAAGATGATTCATATGCCCATTAGAGTGTGAGAAACATTGTTCTAGAACAGTGGTTCACACTCTTGGCTGTATATTAGAATCACTTGGGGAGCTTTAAAAAAGATGCGTGGCACTCACCTAAAGATTCTGATTTAATTGGTGTGGGTTAAGGGTCATGCATGGTGGTATTTAAAAGCTTCCTAAGCAATCCTTATGTGCAGCCAAGTTTGAGAACCACTGTTCCAGAGACTTTCGGGGCAGATATTTTGTTTGTTTTTTGGCAGTTTATGTTGCCTAGAGTTTTACAGCTGTAGCTTGATGATTTCAGGTATTCTCTCTGTGCTGGTTGCTTTGATGGCCGGAAAGGCAGAGATTAAATACAATCCAGAAGTCATCCAGCCACTCGAGATAGCTCAGCTCATCCACAACTTGGGCTTTGGGGCAACAGTAATGGAAGACTACACAGGCTCAGATGGCGACATTGAGCTGATCGTAAGTACGGTGACTGGGCTGGAGCTGTAGGCTAGAGGGTTGCAGGCCTCTGACAACCTGCAGATGTGTTCTGACAGCAGCCATGGCTGTGACAGTAAGCTTCCCCCATCTTGCATATGTCCTGTTAGCTGTTGTTTTGTTTGTTTCATTTTGCATTTAAGCCAACAAAGACCTGTTCATTTTGTGAAGGAATATCTGTTATGTCAGAAAGTCATAGGAGTGAATCCCACTGGGCATATTCAGGCTATGAGGAGGAGGTGGTGGGAGTGTTGGAGGTAGATGAATTTAATTAAAATGGTGATTGTCCTGAGTTGGTGGCTTGAGGGAGTAAATATGAACACACTCCATAAAGCCTACATAGAGGAAGCTAGAATGTCAGCGGTGTCTTGAGGCCAGAGGAGGTGAGTCAGCACGGTAGCCAGTGCCATCACAGATGGAGAGGGCTTGTATGTAGGCACACGGGTATCTAGAAGGTAATTGGTAACAAGATTGTTTTGAAGCTCTCAGTCTGAGGTGAACTCCAAGGGTAGTTGCTGTTCCCAGTGTGGTCAGGGTGGCAGGGGTAGGGTGATGGTGGTGGGGGGTGTTTCCTGTCTGTCCGTTGTTACCAGCTGCACATGTCAAGAAATCATTGAAAACAACAGGTACATCTAGTATTTTAAATATGCTATGTTTACAAGCACTTATGTACAAAACTCGCTTTGTGTAAATAAAGCCGATGTAGAAAAAATGCGCAAAGAATTGAGTAATGCTGTTTTACTTAGGTGAAAGGATCTTTTACTTCCTTACTGTGTTTAGTCATTGCCATTAATGGTAAGTAAATGTTTGAAGAAAAAATACTAAGGACACAAATGGCACTTTGAGCTGCTGATAAGTGGTGTTCTTTCTCAAGTGAAGCCTTTGCTCTGGATGCGCCTCCCATGTGTGTTGAGGGGCAAAGGGTGATATTCACTGGGTTACAGTTCAGGTTGGCCCCTGTGGTCAGAGCAGGGCACCTGCTGCAGACCTCTAGATTTTGATGTGGACATCTCTGCCTGCTCAGACCACTACTGTGTGGAAAAATCTGAATCAAGAATATTCTTAGGGGGAGATTAAAGATGGCAGCGGACTGAGTGGAAGCTACACTGACACTCTCCTGACACCAAACTGGAATTACAACTAAAATATAGAAAAACCATCCTAAATAATCAACTGCAACTGAAGATGAGCTGGAGAGCACCCTCATAAACAAAGAGGAAAAGTGGAGACTGCATAGAGGCTGGTAGGAAGTGCGGATGCATGAGAGGGCTGGTTGGGCTCCCACAGGCAGCAGCTGAAGTTCCAGAGGGATATCTCAGCTGTGGGGGGTTCCCACTGAGGACTCTGGGGCCTAAACCCCAGATAGGGCTTCCCAGCCAAGAGCACCAGAACTGAGAAAGGTGCCCATATAACATCTGGCTGTGAAAAGCAGCAGGGTTTCTGTCTGCCAGGAAGAGGTGGCTGGAAATGCAGGCACCCTCTAAAAGAGTCAACACACAAAGTTTTGTATGCGGCCACTCACTTTGGGCTCCAGCGGAGGAAGGGCAGAGTGGACTGGAGCAGTGTGAGAAGAACCTAGGGTTGATCTCTGGAGATTGAGATCAGAAGGCACTCCTCTGGAGTCCTGTGCCGAGTCATTCCCCTATACTGCAGAGGACATCTTTCTCAGGCAGGCAATTTGCTGCTTTTGCCTAGAAGGGGGAAGCAGTTGCCCCACCATGCTGGAAAACCTCTTGCCCTACCCCATAGAGTTTCTACAGCCTGAGGCCTGTTAGGAGACTGATAACAACCAGCCTCCCCACTCTGTGGAGTTTCTACAGCCTGAGGCTTGTTAAGAGAATCGGATTAATCAGCCTGCAGCCAGAGGCAGACCTCAGAGTGCTTCGAGTCTTTACCTGATCTGCTTCTCGGCCCAGGCCTTGGAAGAGCAGACTTTGGTGTGCATCTTGGTCCTCTCCAACAGCACCCAGCCCCAGCAGAGGAGACCTCAAGCCTAGGGTTGTTGATAGTTCCAAACAGGGTACTCAGGGCCAGTAACAAACTGCGTCTGATGTTGGCCTGAACCAGAGACCCTCCAAAAAGACTGCAAGTCCTAGGTAGATACTGAGAGTATCTACCTAATACATAGAAACAAACCCAAACAGGCAGCCCAATTGGGGAGACAAAAAAACAAGCCCTAAATGAAAGAACAAGAGAAGTCTTCAGAAAAAGAGCTCCATGAAATGGTGATAAGCAATCTATCAGATATAGAGTTCAGAGTACTGATTGTAAGTATGCTCAACAGCATGAAAAAATATATGGAAACTATGAAGGAAATTAAGAATGACATAGCAGAAATAAAGAATGTATTGGAATGAATAAATAGTAGAGTAGAGGAAGCTGAGGACTGGATCAGCGAATTAGAAGACAGAGTAGAAAAAAGTGACTCAATCAGAGATCCTAAAAGAAAAAACAATTAAAAAATAGGAGGACATTTTAAGGGAACTGTGGGATAACATGAAACATAACAATATTTGCATTATAGGAGTGCCAGAAGAGGTCAAAAGTAAGCAAGGGCTAGAGAACCTGTTGGAAGAAATAATGGCAGAAAACTTCCCTAACCTCGTGAAGGAAAAAGTCACCCAAGTTCTGGAGGCACAGAGAGTCCCAAGCAGGAAGAATCCAAAGAAGCCCACGCCGAGACACATCATAATTTAAATGCCAAAAATTCAAGACAGAGAATCTTAAAGGCAGCAAGAGAAAATCAATCTGTTACCTACAAAGGACCTCCCATAAGGCTGTCAGCTGATTTCTCACCAGAAACTACAGCCAGAAGGGAATGGCATGAAGTATTCAAGGTAATGCAAAACAAGGATCTGAAACTAAGACTGCTCTATCCAGCAAGACTGTCATTCAAGATAGATGGTGAAATAAAGAACTTCCCAGGCAAAAAAAGCCTAAAGGAGTTTATCACCACCAAACCGGCATTGCAGGAAATGTTAAAGGAACTGCTGTAATTAGAAGCAGAAATAGAGAGAAAGAGAAAAGTAGGCATAAAGAGTTAAAATGGCAATTGATAAGTATCTATCAATAATAACCTTAAATGTAATTGGATTAAATGATCCAATAAAAAGACATAGGGTGGCTGAATAGATAAGAAAACATGATCCAAATATATGCTGTCTACAAGAGACCCACCTCAAAGCAAAAGACACACAGGATGAGAGTGAAGGGATGGGAAAAATTTTTCCATGAAAATGAAAAAAAAAAAGCTGGGGTAGCAATACTCATATCAGACAAAATAGACTTCAAAATGAAGACCATTATGAGAGACAAGAAGGTCACTATATAATACTAAAGAGATCTATCCAACAAGAGGATATAACCTTGATAAACATATATGCACCCAATATAGGAGCACCTAAATTTATTTTAAAAACTTCTAGAGGACTTTTAGGGAGAGATCGACAGCAAGACAGTCATACTAGGGGACTTTTAACACCCCACTGATTTCACTGGATAGGTCTTCTAGACAAAAAATCAACAAGGAAACAGTGACCCTAAATGACACACTAAATCAGATGAATTTAATTGACTTTTACAGAACATTCTACCCCAAAGCTGCAGAATCTACATTCTTCTCAAGTGCATATCAGTAGATGAGACGATACTTTTACACCATGGAATACTATGCAGCTATATAAAAAAAAGGATCACTTATCCTTTGGGACAACGTGGAGGGAACTGGAGAGTGTTATGCTAAGCAAAATAAGCCAGTCAGAGAAAGACAAGTACCACATGATCTCACTCATATATGGCATGTAATAAACAAAATAAACTGATGAACAAAATAGATCCAGAGACATAGAAGCATGGAACAGACTGAGGGGTCTCAGAGGGAAGGTGGGGGTGGGGGAGTGGGTAGGGAGAGATTAATCAAAGAACTTATATGTCTGTAAGCATAGCCCATGGACACAGACATTGTTATGGGAAGGCCTGGGAGTGGGGTGGATGCAGGGTAGAGGGGATCAATGGGGGAAAAAGGGGGACATCTGTAATACTTTCAACAATAAAGATTAAAATATATAAATTCTTGGTATAAGTGAAACTCTTTTTTGAGCAATGCTTTTTATTACAGTAGTGCTTTTTTGTTGTTTGTTTTTTTAACTAAGCAGTATCAATAGTTATATCATCACATGTTCAGACATTTTATGTCTGTATTTAATGGTATTCTGGGAAATGCTGACCACTGACACTTGGAAGAGTGAATTGTCTAGTTTGCCTACTACATATTACAGAAATGGAATGTCTCATTCCTGTTTCTTGAGTCAAGACACAGCATGGCATGGTAGAGTGGCATAGCTTTCACTGGGCTTGAAGTCAGGCTCTATCGCTGCAGGGATGTGTCTTAACCTGGACTGTGAGATTGCTTCATGATGCTCACTGCAGCAATTTGGAGCACAGATTCAGAGCCAGGCTCCAGCTCTGCCACTCACTGGTTGTGACTTTGGACAAGTTCCTAAACCTCCTAGTGCTGAGACCTACCTTTCAGGGTTGGTGTGAGCAGGATAGTGCTAGGGCAGTGCCTGGCAAGTTTCAAGTGTGCAATAAGTGTTACCTATTATTACTATAAGAGTAAAACAAGAGCTTAGAAGAAATGTTGAAATATTTAGAGACTTTATAAAATTCTATTTGCACAGCCACCTGCTAGCCAGTAAGCTCCTTGTCTGTGTAATGGTCCTTTCTTTCCTACCTTTTCCTTGGGTCCCATGCCAAGGTGAAGGTGTTATGAATACAGATGAGCTTGCCTCTCCTTTTCCCATAATTCCATGTGGGACTCTCCCATTTCTTCTAATACTTGACTCTTGGATTATTGATGCGGATTTCAAAGTGTAGTTCTAGTCTCATTCCAGTGCTCATTGCCCCTTAAGCTCCCCATCAAGTGCTGGCTTAGGAACCCTTTTTAGTTGGGTGCTCAAGGTCTTCATGTGGACGCAGCCAATATGGCAGCCTTCTTCCTCTTCCTCTTCCTCTTCCTTGCACATCCTGTACCCTGCCAAGGTTAGCTATTGAAGGTTGCCTGGCCACCCCTGCTGTCCTCCCTTTCATCTTTCTCATGCTTCTCCTTCTGTGCTTACTCTTACTTTCACCTGGAAACACCCTACCCATACTCTAGGGCCGCCTCAAATCCCATCAACTCATTCGCTCACTTTCTAAATCCTTGCCTCCTGCCGATAAGGAGCTGTTGACATTCTTACTTGCAGCTGCAGGCCGGATGCCAGCAACACTTGGCACCACAGAGAGTATGTCAGGAGCTCAGAGGGTTTTGTAGAGCCGCACATCCTTACGCATTGGAGGCAGAGAGGGGGCATGCATTATTATTCTGGTGGTCCTGGTGAGATGACTGAGACAGAGTATAGATGGCTTATGAAACCCCATCATTACCAGAGCCAGAAGTCAAGCCTCCGTCAGTTACCATCTCCTTGGTAGACTGGCTACGTCTCCTGCACCAGAGCTGGGGAAGAACCGCTGTTTATATCGTTGAAGCCCCTGGGGGAAGGTTTCAGGTGAAGGTATTGTACGTGGGGTTTGGAGGTGGGAGTCCAGAGTCTTGGGGAGGGTGCTGTGGAAGGAGGAGAGGCTCAGAGGCTCATGGCTGCCTATGTGCCTCTTGATCCTGGGTCAGCAGGATTTTTGTCATCTTGTGTTGCAGATAACCGGGATGACTTGTGCTTCCTGTGTTCACAACATAGAGTCCAAACTCACGAGGACGAATGGCATCACCCACGCCTCCGTGGCGCTTGCAACCAGCAAAGCCCATGTGAAGTTTGACCCTGAAATTATTGGTCCACGGGATATTGTCAAAATTATTGAGGTAAGTCAGTCATTTAAAAATTTATTCCCACCTTTTAAAAAACTAATTTATACCCATTGTAAAAAATTTTTTTTTAAAGAGAGAAAACACAGCTAAACAAAAAAGAAAAAGTCACCTAAAGTCCTTCAACTTTTCCAATGGAAATAAGATGAATCATTGTAAAATAAACTGAAGTTAAGTGAATATCAGGTTCTAAGGGGAAAATCAGTGAATGGATAAGAGCATTGGGGAAAAAAAAATTATTGTTTTAATTTTAGATATTCCCTGAGAAACATCAGTATTGCCAAGGTACCTGGTACATGGGGTTAAATTGCCTAAGTATACTCTTTAGGTATAATTCATGTCTGTACCAAGTGTCTATGGACCACAGAAATGCTGATATTTGAAAGAATTATACTGCATTTTGCCACTATGCTAGGCCTACTTTACAATGGGAGAGTTTGGTAATTTGTCCTTTGGAAAATCAACTAGAATAGTTTTCACACACTCCCTACCTCTCTGTTCCATTCAGTTTGTTCACAGACATACCATTTCCTTCTTAAAGTCTATATTATATCACACCATAAGAGGAAGAGAGAGCATTAGTGGTGATCTGAATGGGTTATGACAGTTAAAACCAAACAAGATTAACTTGTAACAACTAATGGTAAGAGTAAATGAAGTTTAGAGGAAACTACTACTTACGAAATTTCTTATGAAATGAAACATCTTGTAGCAGGTTTAATGTTGTCTTTAATTTTCTCTTCACTGTGTGTGTGTGTATGCGTGTGGACGTGTGTGTGCTGTGTGCATGTGTTTTAAGAGATGTCTGTTGAATGGCCTAGCAGAGCTTTTTGACATGCAAATAATAATTCATGGCTACCGAAGTTAATGTGAGACCACAGCTGTCACTGATGACCAACCCCCATTTGACACGCAAATAAAACTGCTGGACAGTGCCTTACAGTCAGAAGCAGACAACACAGCTTCTTTATCAGATGAGGAAAGATCCCAAGAGGGGTTAAGTACTTTGCTCATTGGTGCGCAGCTAAAGGTTGCAGGGCTGGCTTTCAAACCCAGCTCTTACCGTCCCACGCTCGGCGGCCTTTCTATTTCTGCCACACTACAGGTCTGTGATATGGTACTGGTGAGGCTAAGAAGTCAGACTGTTGCAAGGAATAGTGGGCAGAGTCAAGGTGGTACTTCAAACATGTCCCAGTACCCTCCTTATGTATAATGCCCTTGCTGAGCTCCACGCAGCTCTCTGAGCTTGGCTCGGCCCCCTCTTTGTCCTTACTTGAGGAAGATCGCCAGTGTCTGGCCTCCATTCTTATGATTCTGGGACATCTTTTTCTAGTATAATTAGGCCAGTATTAGTTGTAAAAGGATTTGTCTTTAGACAATCTTAGATGATCTTTCTCCCATCATAGCTTTAAGTTTTATATAAAATTCCAACACCAGAGTTCTGGGGCCCCTCTTTATATTGTGCTGGCTGACAGGACATTTCCTGACAGCTTTTTCTGTGTATTCATAAAGGATGTCAGAGACGTTAGTGATCAGATCAAATAAGGCAGAGAGGGCAAATGAGTTAATCTTGGAAAACAGCACAGATTGAGGCGTGGTCTCTGTCTGGTCTCAGTGGAAGCCACAGCTTGCAGATACTGAAGTGGCCAAGGATTGCTCAGTTTGAAGAGGGTGTTGAGAGCCTGGAGAGGTGAGCACTGGATCTAGGTCTTCTGCTAGTGCCATGCCTTTGGGCAGGGTATTTAACCTCTCTGAACCTCAGTTTCTTCATGCAGAGAATGAAAGCAGCTGACCATTCTATATTTGGGATTCTTTAACTCAAAAATGCTGAGTTTACAACTCAACACTGATCAGCTTTGGAGCATGCTGACATTATCTCCCAGAGCCTGCTGCTTTTGTTAACAGAGGGAACGGGAATTGCCATCTGAAGCCATCTCCCTGGGGATGCTACTGCCTCAAGCATAGATGGCTCGGATCCTCTGACAGGATTTGTAGAGTGATTCCGGTAAAGTTGTGGGAGGAAAAAAACAGTACATTCCTCTGAGGCAATTTTAGATTAACTTTCTAATTTCAAAAGATGTAAAATGCTTTCTACGAATGCATGTTTTAACCAAGTGCCTTCCTCCTTGTTTCCCACCCCTCTCTTTTTAATAATAAGGAAATCGGCTTTCATGCTTCCCTGGCCCAGAGAAACCCCAACGCTCATCACTTGGACTACAAGGTGGAAATAAAGCAGTAGGTAGAACAGAAAAGATCAACTGAAGCGCTTGTCTACCTCTCCCTGGGCCTGACCCTTCCTTATTCTGTGCTTTTCATTGTCCCTGCTGCCCTGGCTTCTCACAGTGTCATCTGCTTGGATGAGTTGCCTTTATCCTTGTAATGTTAACCCTCTACTGATGTCCACCAGACCTTTCTGCTCTGACAGAAATGTTCTATATCTGCACTGCCCAATATGGTAGCCACTAGCTACTGAGTACTCAAAATGCAGCAAATGTGACTGAGGAACTGAATTTTTAATTTTTCATTTTAACTAATTTAAATTTAAATAGTCACCTGTGACTGGTGGCTAACAGATGGGAAAGCACTTAAGTTGGAAGAAAGAGAGCATGGATTTTACAGTATTTTACAGTATTTTAATATTTTATTTGAATGGGTTCTAGAACTAGGATCCAAGGATAAGAATCATGGCCAAGTGGAAAGAAAATGACCTGGGAAGGAAGAGACCTGAGTTCATTGTTTCAGATGTTCACGTATTCGTTCAATAGACAAAGCCACTGTCGTATGCGGGGCACTGTGCTAGGTGTAGGGATGAACAGAATGTCCCTACCTTTGAGGTGCCCATACCCTGACTGGGAAACAGTGGATGAGCAATGATTCAAGTGAGTTCTGGGAGGTCTGGGAAGCCAATAAGCAGAAGACACATAATCTGGGCCTCAGAGAATGAGTGGGCCTGACTGGTGTGGCTCAGTGGTTGAGCATTGACCCATGAACCAAGAGGTCACTGGTTCGATTCCATCAGGACACATGCCCTGGTTTCGGGCTCAGTCCGCATCCTTGCAGGAGGCAGCCGATCAATGTTTCTCTCTCATCAATGTTCCTATCTCTCTATCCCAATCCCTTCCTCTCTTTCTAAAGAAAAAAATGAGTGAACGTTGCCTGGGCAGAGGGAGTGGGGGTGGAAGTGGGGGTCTTCTAGGGACACAGTGGCAGGGGGCTTCAGGGACTCTTACGTGGTTTGCTGTGGTTGGTAGGCCTGCAGCACAGGAGAGCTGGCAGGAGAGGTGTCTGAAAAGCTAGTCAGAGACTAATTCTTGGGGCCCAAGGGTAAGACTTTAATCTCATAGACAGTGGTTTTCAGACTGGGGTTAAGTGCATCAGTTCCCACAAGCACTTGGCTAGAATTTCATGGGTACTGAAGCTAATGTGAGACCACAGCTGTCACTGATGACCAACCCCCATTTTAAACTTCAGTGTTCAATAAGACAGCTTCACTTTTCGCTGACTCTATTTTAAGTAGTAGTTCAAAAAGTAAATGTATAAGTAAGTTAATACTAATAAAAGATTACTTTTATCTATTTTTTTCTTGGGAGTTTGTATAAGATTGCATTTTGATAAAAGAGCTATAGGCAGCCATAGACAGAGATGTTAAGTCTCTCTTGGGCTGGATTCTCAGCTTCTGGACCTGGGTTGCCTCACCTGTAGGTTGGAGATAACATGTCTGCCATGGGCAGGCATGGGCTGGTTCTAAACCTCTCAAGAATGTCCTTGAAGTTTAGACCTTTAAGTTCTCCCTCAGGTGGTCTGTGTCAAGGAGAGAGCCTTCCTTTCATTTTAGCCCTTGGTGGTCTGTCCCATAGACAAAGGCAAGTCTTAAGCTGAGTTCTCAGGAGAGGCCCATCAAGTGGCAGGCAGTACCTAATCTGTCCATGTTACTCATTGCTTTCCAGGTGGAAGAAGTCTTTCCTGTCCAGCCTCGTGTTTGGCATCCCTGTTATGGGCTTAATGATCTATATGTTGATACCCAGCAATAAACCCCACAAATCTATGGCCCTAGACCACAACATCATTCCAGGATTGTCCATTCTAAATCTCATCTTCTTTATCTTGTGTACCTTTGTCCAGGTGCGTATCAGAAGGGGTCAAACCTCTGCCCTTCATGCTTTTGCATGACCAGTGCTTTATTGCAGCTTTCCTGACCCACTCCAGCCAGTTGGTGCTTTTTTCCATCCTATGACCAGCAGCAGGGTGTCCTCTAACACAAAAGACTTTTAAGAATCTCGTTTCACTGTTGATTGCAGGTGATTGACTTCTCCCTGGCATAGCAACCACTTTGCTGCAAGGATTGGTGAACCAGCTCTCTCCAGTTTGCTTATCATTTAGCTTAATTTATCTTTGTTGTTAGAAGCAGCAGTTAGATCATCGTGAGCTCATGCTTCTCTTTAACATGGTAGAAATGTAGTTCTGAGGAAATTATAATATAAAAGAGATGGGCCCCATGGAACTTCTGGTCTGGGGGCAATATTAAGGAACTAGCCATGTTTCTATTGGGAAGTGTGGCCTCCATATATTATGGGATATAAAGTAAAACTCCTGACTTAATATTAAAATGTTTAGGACTAAATAGTCTTTCTTTGTAGGCTGAATTTGTTTTTTTCTGTATTTTGTTTTTAATTCCAAATGTAATGTACATTTATTGTAAATAATTCAAGCCATACTGAAATATTAAAAGAAAAGAGGAAGGTGTTCTTTCACTGCTCGCACCCTGTCTGCAGCCCAATGCCATCCACCAGGGTCACATTATTATTATTACTAGTTGGTTGTATATCTTTCATCTATATAGATAACATTTGCGTGTGTATGTGTGTGTACATGTTCACATAAGGCAGACACAATATATTAGATGTAGTGATTTATAACTGCCTTTTCCACTTAATCATGTATATCTTTCACTCCAGTGGTTTACAGATCTAGGACATTCTCCTTAGGGACTCCATAGCATTGGCCACAGTATAAATGAAGTGTGATTTATTTCACCATTGTCACCATTCTCCTATCGATTGACATTTAGGTTGTGTACTCTGAGTTTTAAAGGTCTCCCAGGTACTCGATTATCCATTCCTGTAGCCATTAGTCCTCTGAATCAGGAAATAATTTCAAAAACATTGATGACAGAGGAAAAAATTGTGGGTGAGCCTAGAATATTTGCCAGTCCCAGTGGCCTCTGGGCCTCTGCTCCTTGAACACTGTGCCCTGCTTGTTTCAACTATCACTTTATCTGTCTTTCAGTTCCTTGGTGGGTGGTACTTCTATGTTCAGGCCTACAAAGCTCTAAGACACAGGGCAGCCAACATGGATGTGCTCATCGTGCTGGCCACGAGCATCGCCTATGTCTACTCCCTGGTCATCCTGGTGGTGGCCATTGCTGAGAAGGCCGAGAGGAGCCCCGTGACATTCTTTGATACCCCCCCCATGCTCTTTGTGTTCATTGCCCTGGGGCGGTGGCTGGAACACGTGGCAAAGGTAAGTGCAGCTTCATGTTAAAAGAACTGTTCCTTCAGTAATACAAACCTTAATTCATGTTTAGAATTACTAATTATACACAGTCTAGAGCAAGACTTAAAAGAAATGTGAAACCTACATATAATTAGGTGCTTCAATCACTAATCTGCAAATTGATTGCTACTTCTAAAATCCCAGCTAATCTGGTTAATTATTAAAACCTTTGTTCAGGTGCATTGTGTCGTAGAAAGAACCCTGGATTTCAGGTCAGAGGTCATACCGTCTCTTAGTACCTAACTGAGTGTATGACTTATTTAGTCTAGAAATCCGCATTTCCACCTTCAGGTCATGCCATTTTTAATAACCTACATTGTACTCAGCATTTTAATGTTTCTTATAAGCAAGTGGGGATCTGGCCCTGAAAGAAATTGGCTCGAACCTAAAAGAAAACTGTCAGTGGGTAGATTGGTATTGTTTTTTCAGTCTGAAATGTAATTAATTGAACTGTGGCATTTGTGCATCCAGTGTGGCGATGACATGGCTGCATGTTGATGGGCAGTGTGTCCCATCATCAAGGAGAGCCCTTTGGTGTGCTGTGTTAAGCGGGTAGCCTTTTTCTGAAGGGACTTGTTTATTATAGTTCTCCTTTTACAATCTGGCTATTTCTTAGAGCAAAACCTCAGAAGCCCTTGCCAAACTCATGTCTCTCCAAGCCACAGAAGCCACCGTCGTGACCCTTGGTGAGGACAACTTAATCATCAGGTGGGTTATCTTCATCCAGAGTGCTTGGTCAATTTATGTCAATCTGTGTCAGACACATCAAATATCCATCGTGTATGTGACACTAGACCTCATGAACGTGGGCAAAGATGTATAGTAAGATCCCTCCTTCAATCCAGTTATGTATATGAGGCATTTGAATACCAAAAGATAAGCACAAGTCACAGTGGTGTATGTTGGTAAGTGATAAATTTTGAGAGGTACAGACTATTTGTAGCCTTGGAATTTAGAAGAGGAAGGCTTGTGGTGGTTAAGGAAAGCTTCACAGGGAACATGGAGTGTGAGTTGGGCCTTCCTTGCAAGATTTGGAGGATTCAGACAGGCTGAGAGAGAAGGGTTTCAACTTGCCAAAGAATAAAAAAGGAAGTAGTACTTTTCTTCTTTACAAGGTTGGCAGATATTAAAAATAATGATGATCATTTTCATTATTGCTGGAACTTATGTAGCATTTATCGTTTGCCAGACACTATTCTAACCTCTTTGTATTTAACCTAACAAAGATAATAATAACAATAATAATAATAAAACTTTGAGGAAGGGATTGTTAATATCCTCATTTTAAAGATGAGGAAACTGAAGTTCAGAGTTCAGAGAAGCTAAGCAACTGACTCAGGGTCACACAGGTATTAATGAGTTGAATTGGGATATCCAGGCTGTTGGTTTCAAAGTCCATATTCTTTACCCTTACGTATACTGACTGTTAAAGTGTATTTAATAATAGGGACATTTTTACAAATTTGTTTCTGTATTTCACTGGTCAGCCTCATTTTCATATTTTAGGCAGTGGTTATTTATAGGCTTCCTTCGCATTCCTGAAATCTCCCCAGGTTTTCCCTTTAACCTGTGATCTCACTTGTGACTACTGAAATCCACCAGTTTCCTGCAGTTCAACCTGCAAAGCTGTCTTCCCTTGTTGTACCATCCCTCCTGCCCCCATGGAAGTAGGTCTCTCTCCTTGGGCCTCTGTTCAGGAGCCTTCCTCTGTCGATTTCTCGTTGATATTCAGTGTCTCCATCTTTGCGGATTCGTACCATCCAGTATGACATATACTCTAAACTTTGTTGTTTAAGCCAGCCTGTGCCCCTCTCCCACTGTGCACTTGCCTGTTCATCACATTGTTGCCAGTGCTGGTTCACTGGCTGTGTCCAAGAGATGACCCTCTCCCTCTGAGGCTGACACTGGTCCTTGCTCCCCAGTGGGGCTCTCGGTGAGCCTGTGTTGAGTACATGACTCAGTGAGTGAGACCTAAATAACTAAAAGTTAGCGAAGCACAGGCTGACTGCAGCACTGGTTTTTGCCTGGTTGCTGGCTTTTAAATACTATGAACTATGGTGGTGATAGCTGAGATTTGAGAACTTACTGTGTACCAGGTACACTACTCAGCACTTTGCATAAATTATCTGATTTAACCCTGATATACCCTGTAAGGCAGGTACTCTCATGATCCCCATTTATTGGGAAGAATCTTAGGTACGTGAAGTAATTTGTCCAAAGTCGACAACAGGTGAGTGGCAGAGCTGGGAATAGAGCCCTGCAGACACAGAACCACCCTCTTAGCCACCTGCTAAACTCTCCCAGGCAGGAGGACCCCGAGTGATGAAGCGGTCGATACCTGTGGGCTTCCAGCCTTTGGCTGCTTATACACTAGTAATGCTTCTTGGCTGCTTTTTTTCTTCTAAATTAATGATGAGAGTTTCTGAGAAATGAAAACCTTCAGGTCAGGAATAAAACCATAGGCAACTGCATTTAGTGTCGGCCTTTCATTTGGAAGCGCTTCTGATACCGTGGACCACCATGGCATGGACAGCTCCATTGATTTCAATGCAGGAGACATGCATCTTTGCCAGAACATGAAAACTAGTTGAAATGCTGAAGTACTGTGGGGCTATACACCTGTCATAACTCAGTTCTTTTCCAAAGATGGTGATTAATTTTTGGTTGTGGACACATTATGAGTCTGACTACTACCATCATAATGTAGTGGTACCATTTTTTAAGCTAGGAGCCTGAAGACCATTCTGGCTTTGCCTCAGATGGGCTGTGTACTTTGTGCGCATCAGTTAATGCCCATTTTGTACAGTTCCTCTCTGTCAAACGGGGGGTGGTTTTTCCTATCCCATCTTCTTGACAGGGTGCTCTGGGCTCCTGGAAGCTTGACTTTCTGTAACATGAGGTGTGCTGATACCAGCCCCCTCCACACATACACACAAGTCAACCTCCCCCCCCCGCAGGGCCCTTCTGCATCTGGGCCTCTGCTGGTATGGACAGGTCTGTGTCCTTCTGAAAGCCACTGCAGTTTCCCGCCTCAGCTGGCTCCTTTCAGCGAGGCTCTCTGCCAGGGCGACCTCTCCTTTCCATCCCAGGTCTTGGGTGATGGAAGCATCTGCATGGATGATCGATCTGGCACACAGTCATTTCTTTGCTCTCCTCATTCCTTAAATATCAATGAACTTTAGGCTTTCAATGTTGGCCCTATTGTCTGTTGTCTTGGTGTGTTACAGACATCATGGGATACCTCCTCTCCCCCATGTCTTCATTCTCAAACCTACCTTAGGTGTCATCTTCCCTCTGTGCTCTCCTCCCAGATGCTTCCTTTTCTCCTTGTGCCTGTTTGTCTCTGTGAATGGCACCATCACACACCAGCTCCTGAGGCAGAGGCCTGGGTGCCCTCTGTGACTCTTTCTCCTCCCTTACCCACACATACAGGCTTCTAGCTCCACAGCCTCTGGTAGCCTCACACACTGCCCCCTCCCACTGCCACCACACTTGTCCAGGCCACCACCTTCTCTGTACCACTGTAACACTTTCCTCATTGCCCTCCTGCTTCCATCCTGGCCTTCCAGATATCTTTCCACAAATCTGATTGCATTACTCTGTAGCTGAAAATCCCGTGATTTGCTATGGTACTTATGCATTCCTTAACATGCATGTGAAACTCAGCATCTGCCCTATGTATTTCTTGGGCTCAGTCTCTTGTCCTGACACTCCTACATCTCATCCACCACCCTCTAGCAGTTCTTAGGAAGAGGTTCTCTCCTGCCTCTAGACCTCTGCACACTGCACATGTCGTCCCTGCCCCCGAATACCTTTCTTCCTTTCCCTTCACCTGGCTCCTTGTCCTTCAGGTCTTGGTTTAGATGCCATGTCCTGCAGAAGCCTTTCCTGTCCCCCAGGCCTGGATTTATGGTCACTCAGTCCTCTCTCAACACTGGGTGCCTGTGGTCACCCTGGACATACATGTGGCAGGTGCTCAGTTACTCACTATTTGAATGAATGAAACAACTGTCAATTGTTAAATAAATTCCACATGTATATGTTTGACATTGAAAGGCCTGCATAGCGTGGTCCCCAATCTCCCACATTACCCAGGTTTTTTTTGTATAACTGGGAAAACAAAATTACAAATTTTATCTAGTCCAATGGCCATTCTAAGTGTTTTTTCTCCCTTTTCTTATTTTGTTAATCCTCACCTGAGGATATTTTTTCCATTGTTTTTAGAGAGAATAGAAGGGAAGAAGGGAGGGGGAGAGAGGAACATCTATGTGAAAGAGACACATCGATTGGTTGCCTCCTGCATGTGCCCCTATGCAAGTCGGGGATCAAACCTGCATCCCAGGTACATGTGCTTGTCCAAGAATCAAATCCACAACCTTTCGATGGGTGGAGCCGACAGTAACCACTGAGCAACATTGGCTAGGGCTTTTCTGTCTTGTGTTAGATGAGAAAGGAGACAGACAAGGTAAACAGACTGCTAGCAGAAACTCTTAAAGCTGAAGAAATGCTAGGGTAAAAACTGTTTCAGTATTTCTACAACTCAGCATTTTGGAGGAATTAGTTTCTGAAGGAGAAATGCTACTGGGAATTCACCAGAAGGAGCCACTTTCACCCCCATAAAGGGCTGTTCACTTCAAATGAAGCTGTTCAGAGTTTGAAAAATTGATTAATTCAGATCAAAGGGGAAATTCAGAGTTAGATTAAGCAGAGATTAGCATTACTAATACAAAGGCACCCAAATGGACATGTGTTCGGGTATCCCCATACAAGCCAACAGCCTAGTAGGTTATGGGGGAGGAGAGATTCTGTCCCCACAGTCCTCTTTCCTAAAGTGAGCAGGCATTCCTTTTCCTGACACACCCTCTTCTTGCCAAGGAGAGACCTCTGTGTGATGATATGCTCCTCCAGGTCATATAGACAGGACTCAGAAGGACGATGTTGAAGCCTGGATGTCTCCATCATTGGAAGGCTTCAAAAAAAAGCAGAGTATTCCCAAGTTGTAGAGATCCTCCCCTTCTCCTTGTTTACTGCCCTGCCCAGTCACCAGGTTTACACATCTATTCCCAGCACTCAGAACTTTAGTCTGCTGCCCACTTTCCCTTGAAAGGTCTCCTTTTCAGTACTCCCTTTATTTCATTATGGCCATTATTGAAGTTACATATACAAGTCTGCTTTTAGCTCCTAGCCTGTAAACCTGAAGAGGAAGGCCCCACTTTGTCCTGTTCATTACTGCAGCCGAGCACAATGCCTGTTGCGCAGAGACTGGTCAATAGTGAAAATGTCCATTAGGTGATAATAAAAGTTGCCAACATTTTCTGGGCACTTAGTATATATCAGGCACTGGGACACCCATCATCTCAGTTAATCCTAGGAGCAAAATCACCATTGTGGAAAGGTGGACTCTGTGGCTTTGAACCAGGATTTGACCAGATCGCACTCTTGTTCTGTGGCAAGGACTCTGAGCTCTGGGGGTCAGGGCCATGTCTGCCTTGCTCACTCCTGAGTCCCCAGCACCCGGTGCGCACAGTGTACATGTGCAGCTAGCTCAGGGTAGGCTTCGTGTGCTCAGGCAGCCTGCACCAGGCAGCACCACAGGAGCAGGGTGCCCTCGCAGCCTTGCAGGGGCAGTGTAGGGGGTGCACCGGACCTTCAGATTCGGGCAGCGTTGAGTCCTCACTACAGGGGACATTCCTAACAGCGTTTTAAAATGAAAATATTGATGTAAATATGTAACATCTGTCTGCACAAGCTGGTTCCTGAGTTTCATATATTTATACACAACATTTCAAAAACTGGGTATATATGTCCAATTTTGTGTCTTTCTAAGAAATCTTCAGGTTTTTGCCCAAACAGGCGAATATCACGTACCTCATATGCTTTTGGGAAGTTCCAGTGAGATAAGATGTGTAAAATCTGGCACCATACCTGCACTCAGTAAATGCCTATTTTCCTCTCTTACGTAAGTAAGGTGGCTTTTTGTACATCCTCTCTGGTAGTGTAAATGTAGTCTTTGTAGAATGAAAGGGAAGTATAAAATAACCTCAGGGTTCTGCTTGTTGTACAGGCCTGCTTTTCTGATTTTTCCCCCCCCCCATTTGTTCATGAGCCAGTGTCATCTACACAAGTAAGTATATTTTGCCCACATAATGCTTTTAGAGAGATGCTGCCAAAGCTGGTTGTGGTTCCCTGCATGGCCTCTCTCTTTCTCACTCTGTTCCTGCTGGTCCTCCTCCTCCTCCTCTCTTTCTCTCTCACCATTCCCACCAACATACAATTCGCACCCATATGATTCACACATATGTACAATTCACGATTTCCTGTCTTAATTCACTTCCTCCTCTACTTCTGTTATTTTCTCCCCTTTCGTAACAAAACTTGTTTTAAAAGTTGTCTTTATCTGCTATCTCTGTTTCCCCACTTCACATTCTCTCTTCCGCCCATTCCATCTCAGCTTCTGCCTCCACCAGTTTCTGCAATTGCTTTTGCCAAAGATATCAAGTAATTTCCATGTACCCAAATCCAACTATTAATCCACATTTCAGCCTCTCACCAGCATTTTTAGCCTTTAATGTCCCTTAAGTTTTTTTCTTTTTTATTAATGTATAACTTACATTCACTGAAGTATACAAATTAATTCTAAGTATAGAGCATGATGAATTTTACATTTTTGCTTCTGTGTAACTACATCTGCATACTTGATATGATAGCTGGGTGTTTGCTCCTTGGAATCTTCTCCTTTTCCTCTGCATCACTGGCTGGCCCTTTGCATCTCTCTTGCTGGCCCTTCCGTTCCTGCTCAACTTCCAAATATTGGTATATCCCAGGGCTTAGTTCCAGGATTCCTCCTCTTTTCCTGTTACTCTTCTAGGTAAGCTCTTACCATTTCAGGTTTTAAATGAATTTCTATTTTGTCAGTTCCCTGATTTGTTTCTTGAAAGCTGACCTGTTCTCTTACCTCCAATCATATTTTCAACTTCCTACGTAACATTAAGTCAAATAGGCATCTCAGACCTGACAGGTTAAAATGGAGATCTACAGTTCATCTCCTCTTCCTTCTCCCTCCCTCACCTGCTTCTCCATAGTTGTTTCCATGTCATTAAATGATTTCTCATCCACGCAGTGGCTCACACTGAAAGTTTAGAGCTCATCTTTGATTCTTTCCTTATACATTTAGTGCATCTGCACATCTCACTGATGCAGGCCCTAAACACATCCTGGGCATATCTTCACTCCATCTTTAGCCCATGCCATTGATGTCCTTTTCTTGGGTGACTGCAACAGCCTAACTCTTCTCTCAGCTACTGTTATTGTCCCTACAGCCATTCTCATGCAGCAGCCAAAGAGATGGAAATATGAATCAGACTATGTCACTGAAAAACCCTGCATTTCAAGCATACAGCTCTGCTCTGCAAGATTCAATGTGGTCTGCATTCTACCTGCCTCACTTCCCTCCAGCAATGCTTGTCACTTCCCATTTCTCAAAGGCACCCTTTCTGCCTGCCTTATGGACTTTGGATTAGTTGTTTTTTCTCCCTTGAATGTTCTTTCCCCCATATTTTGGCCTCTCTTGTCATCCAGGTCTCAGCTCAAATGTCATCGTCCAAGTGAGGCCTTATTTTCCTCCCACAACTAAAGAAGCCCTCCAGTCACATTTTCATCACAGCACTTATTTAATACCTGGAACTAATTTGTTTGTTGTCTGTTTCCTCCACAGAATTTGTCTTCATGACAGTAGGGACTTTGCTGTCCCAGTCATAGCTATATTCCTAATGCCTAGTACAGTGCCTGGCATGTAGTAGTGGCACAATAAATAAATACTGCCTCAGTCTGTAACTGACAGATAAAATGAATACTTCTACTCTGTGCAAGTAGAGTGTAACCAGTCCAACAGTCCTCCTAGAACCTGGCCTGGGTGACAGACCAAGAGGGTGAGCTCCAGTGAGTGGCCATGTGTGTAACTTGAGTGGCATTTGTTGCAGAGAGGAGCAAGTACCCATGGAGCTGGTGCAGCGGGGTGATGTCATTAAGGTTGTTCCAGGGGGAAAGTTCCCAGTGGATGGCAAAGTCCTAGAAGGCAATACCATGGCCGACGAGTCCCTCATCACAGGTTAAGTGACTTGCTTTATGTTCCCTTTGGGTGGGTATCAGTGCAGTTACAGGTCCCATGAATGCTAAACGGAGCTCCATGCATGACACTTGGTCTCTCATCTCCACCTCTAGGAGAAGCCATGCCAGTCACTAAGAAACCCGGGAGCATAGTGATTGCTGGGTCTATAAACGCACATGGCTCTGTGCTCGTTAATGCTACCCATGTGGGCAATGACACCACTTTGGCTCAGATTGTGAAATTGGTGGAAGAGGCTCAGATGTCAAAGGTAATGAAAAAATTTAACGAAGAATATCACTTCTGTTTCCTCATTTTAGAAATCACCCCAAGAGCTCCATAGAATCAGGCAGATATTATTGAGTCAAGAGGTAATGAGGGAGCTGAGAATCCCAGTCCTTGTCCATTCTTGTGGTGTTTGGTTGCTTTGTAGATTGTAATTTCCTATGGTCTTGGTGTTTTATTTTCATAGGCACCCATTCAGCAACTGGCTGACAAGTTTAGTGGATACTTTGTCCCATTTATCATCATCATTTCAACTTTGACGTTGGTGGTATGGATTATAATCGGTTTTATCGATTTTGGTGTTGTGCAGAAATACTTTCCTGTAAGTTGAATGCTGTGGGCTGTATGGTTATTGTGTTTTAGATAATCTATTGCCATTAACCCTGTTCTTTCATATCTTAGATTCAATGTGCTTTAATTACTCATTGCATTTTATTTGCTTGTGTTACTTATTGGCAGTAAAATCTTAACCATGGTAGGAAATCAATCATTTCTGCGAGTTTTTATTAAAGATGGCCATTGCTTCCTAGTTAGATAGTTTCACAAACACCAATTGGCTCTCAGTTGCAATGCTTCAAGCAGTTACATTATGCAGTATTGTCCATTTTTGGAGTTATAAAGCACACACCATAGACAATAGGTCACTTCAGATTTTGATGACATGCATTGTAACATTATTTAACAAAGTTTAAGAAAAATATATTTTTTGTTATCTATGTCCATAAATATCATCTTAACCTTGCAGCTTCCCAAGCAATGCTAATAACTTTTTAGTAAATATTTATTAAACATTATATATGAGGCAATGGAATATACGTTTTTTAGTTTAAAAAGTGGATGAATACTATCTTAAGAAATGTAGTTTTATCAAACTTTTAAAAAGGTGGAAAATACAAAGCAACAAAACAAAAAATTTTTCTGCTTCAGAAATGAGAACTTAGTGATTTGCAGTTGGGAGTGATTTTTGTCTCCCTAGGAACATTGGCTATGTCTGGAGACATTTTTGGATGTCATGACTGAGGAGGGGATGCTACTGGCATCTAGTGGGTAGAGACCACGGATGCTGCTAACATCCTACAATGCACAGGACAGACCCCACAAAGAATTATCTGGCCGCAAATACCAATAGTGCTGAGGTTGAGAAACCTTGATATACATAAAAAGCTAATTACTCACTTAGAGCAGTATTTGGTAACTGCTAGTGAATAGAACAGTGTTTTACCTTATTTTTCCAAAAATATCTCATACTTAGCCCAGTGTATTTTGTAATGTGTATTTTACCATAGAGCCATAGAATAAAAAATTACAAGTATGGAATGGATAATACTAAAAAAAATTTTTTTACCCATAATTAAAGGCATATCATATTCTTGGGGTACATGTCATTCACTAAGATGTAATTTTCTCTCTCAAATTTCCTGTCTTAAAATGAAAAATGTCCAAATTATACACTTTCTGATATCTACGGAGACCTCAGTGCTTTTAAGTAACCTATGACTGTATTCCTAGAATTTGCCACTGGCTACTGCCTGAAATTTCTGCTTTTGTGGGAGAGCAGCTCATTCATTGGCTTGTGGCTGTGGGAAAACTCAGTCCTAAACAAGTTGGAATATGTAGCTTTTTGCTGTTCCCTGCCTTTCTATCTTACTTTGGCTTCTTTTGTTTTATCTGCAATATCAGGGAGGATGCTGGCAAATGAGGTACTGCATGTTCTTTTAAGATGCTGCTATCACCGTGCTACATAAAAATCATTGTAGGGACAGGATTCATGTCAACTTCCAGAAGTCCACTCAATCCCATCACAATGCCAGATGTTATTTTGATAAGAATTATTGTGTATTTTTAAAACACACACACATCACCTTACCTCCAAGAATTGCATTATATCTTAAACAACATGTCCCTCTACCTAAATCCAACTGTTTCTATGAAAATTAAGTGACCCTTTGATAATATATCTTATTTTAGAATCCTGCCTTGCAAAACAAAAAAGTATGTAGATGGACGCTAACAAGATTGTGATCTGTATCCTTGATTTAGAAAACATGCTTTTTATTGTAATTAAGTGAATATAGTATCTCCTGATTGTACTCCAGAGACACCAGCCATTTCTAAAAATAAACCAAGATAGCTCAAGGTGTCAGAATGCAAATAATAATAATACCAATATGTGCCACCATACCTGGAAAGGAGACCCATACTTTGTTTTGGGTTTACAAAGAAAACAACAGTGATTAGGGTTCTGTGTGATTTCTTATTTCACTCCACCTACCTCTCTTTCCTCTTTTCAGACCCCCAACAAGCATATCTCCCAGGCAGAGGTGACCATCCGGTTTGCATTCCAGACGTCCATCACAGTGCTGTGCATTGCCTGCCCCTGCTCTCTAGGCTTGGCCACACCCACGGCGGTCATGGTGGGCACCGGCGTGGCTGCCCGGAACGGCATCCTCATCAAGGGGGGCAAACCTCTGGAGATGGCCCACAAGGTTGGCCCAGCACTGCAGTGCTCCTGGTTGGCCTTTGGGGTCTTGGCTGGGATGATTTAGTAGTTGTTCACTAAATGATTTTTTTTTTAACTTCGAGGTTTGGTGAAAATAGTATCTGTTTAAATTTCACATTAAGAGATAAACCTGAAAGAGGCCCGAGCATAGCACTGTTAGTTAAGTAAAACAGGAAGCCAGGACTGACGGAATGATAGAAGCTGCAACAGCAGCAGCTAATAGTTATAAAATTAAACACTTTGTAAATATTAGTTGATTTAATCTACTCGACTCTGAGGTAGTACTTACTATTCCCGTTTTACGGATAAGGGGGCTACAGCAGGAAGAGGTGAGATAGATTGCCCAAAGGCCTGCAGCTAGTAAATGGCAGAGCAAGGATTCATGCCTGGAGAAAAGTACCAACTCTGCATCTCTGTGATTAGCAGAGGGATCCTGTGACCTTGGGGGGTAGAATAATGACCAACAGTGGATGAAGAATCTTCCTTTGGCCAAGCACACTAATCCTTAGCTCTCCATTGATTTATTCAGTATTTGTTGAGCATTTACTATGTGTGGGTCCTATGATTGGCCCTCGTCATGGTCTTTGGCTATCAAGGATGGGGAAAGACAAGTATGGAGTAAGTAAATAGCAAATGTTATGAGACAGGGTGAGATGCCGTGAGGTCAGTTTAGCAGGAGCCTACTTAAACTAGTATGTATTGGACTGGGCATGAAGGATGGTACAGGTGGTTAGGGAAGGAAATATAAAGGTTAATCTGAGACCTAACAGCTGAGTGAGAGTTAGCTGGAAAACAGATTGGGAAGAATGTTCTGGTGGTGGGCAAAGCACATGGAAAGGACTTGTGGGGAGAGGTGCTGTCCTGCCATATCATAGACTCAGCAAGATCAAAGACTGAACTTTTCCCACCATTGTATCCCCAGTGTTTTGCCCAGTGCCTGGCACATTGAAAACACTCAACAGTTACATGCTGAAAACAAATGAGGAAATGAAAGAAAATCATTGAGACAGAGAAACTGATAGGAGATCAGGCTGTTGAGGGAAAAATGGAGGGAGAGTGGGACCTTGAAGGGCCTTGGAGTATTCAGAACTTAACCCAAAGAACAGAGAGCCATGGAGGGGTTTGAAGTGCCTATGTGATGTGACTGGATTACTTGTTGGGAAGATCTGGCTACAGAGTGAAGGATGGACTAAAAGGAGGCAAGAAGTGTTGGAGGAAGACCAGTTGATAGTGTTGAAGAGGCCAGCACTCAGCAGCAGAAACAAAAACCCGAATCTATTATTTGCTAAATAAGGGAGAACCATGCTTATGGGACACAGTCTGAACACAGCAAGCAGATGACCTTACCTAGGGTTTAGGGAAGCCTGAGTCCAGGGATTGGTGGACTCTGGCAGTAGAAAAGCAGGTACCAGTGTGGCTCTTGTTGACTGGCTGAGCCCACCCACAGGGACTGGTGCAAAGCTCCCATTGACCAAGTGGGACAGGTCTAAAAATAGGCTCCAATGGTTACTTATTATGGCCAAGGAACATTCCCTTCCTTGAACTTGGAGTGCAAGAGCTTTATTCTCAGGTGGCTCTTGCAGTTATGCAGGCCAGAGAAAACCGTGATTGACTCAGCAGGTATCGGTAGGTAGAGAGACTCCCAGAGCCCTAGCTCCTGATCTGACATGAGGAGAAATCTGCTGGTGTTACTGTCCAGGGGATGATGGCATGCCATCTCTCGTTACACTGGAGTGAGAGTTTCTGGCTCAGCCTGGTTAAGGTTAAACTACAGTGGGGACTTCTTTGACTTGGCAGAGAGGGAAACAGTTTTTTGTGGGGGAATGATTGAACCTTGTGATTGATTGCAGATGATTACATCGTAGAGTATGAAGGAGTGTTGATATCTACCTGAGGGACTGTGAGTTAAGTTCTGCCTCAAGATTGTGTGGGTTTTAAAGTCCCTTCCATCTGTATTTGTGGTAATCAAGATGTGGTTGTTTTGGCAGATAAAGACTGTGATGTTTGACAAAACTGGCACCATTACCCATGGGGTCCCCAAAGTCATGCGGTTCCTCTTGCTCATGGATGTGGCTACACTGCCCCTCAGGAAGGTTCTTGCTGTGGTGGGGACTGCGGAGGCCAGCAGCGAGCACCCCTTGGGTGTGGCTGTCACCAAATACTGTAAAGAGGTATGAAGACCTGGTCATTGCTCATCCTCTCACTCATCTCACCACCTTCTCTCTCACCAGAGAGACTGGAGCCTCCAAGCTCCTTCCTCCTAACAGGCTTGTCCTCCCAGCTGCCACTGTCACCTCAGTTAACTGCCTGCAAGGAAGCCTTGGTTTGTGTGATCTGGAAAGCCACTTAGCAGGCCTCCCGGAGCTGGTAGAAATGTGGCTCGCAGTAGTTGGTTCCTTGTCACATTTCCAGATCATCACAAAAGCAGCTCAGTGTTAACAGTCATTTATTAAGCATTTACTGAGTATCTGTGCTCAGGACAACTAGAAAGATGGGAATTCTGCCTCTAGGACCTGCTTCCTGGTCAAGTGGGGAAGACAGATGGTGTATAAATTCAGTCCTTTATGAACACTTAATGCAAAGGGATACAAAAGTGAATGGGATCTTGGGATTTCTGAGGGAGAAATCCACTCAGTTGGGAACATCTGAAATGGAGAGGAACCAGCAGAAGTGAGCTGAACACCCAATGGCTTCTTGGCACAGTTAATGGGGAAGCATTCATCTTTTGATCTTTCTAGATGAAAGGTCCTATTTAATTTTCTCTGTTTTCAGTCTGAATATAGAAGCAGCAGAATGTGCCACAATATTGCCCAGAAAAAACTTAAATGGTGTGAGCAATACAATTATCAGTAAACATAGAGGGTGACATGGATGCCTTGAAAAAATTGACAACTCTTCCCAGACAGGGAGCCTTCCAGAAATCTCATTTTGTGTTTCCATCTTTCATGTAGGATCAGGCAGACCACCNAAAAAATTGACAACTCTTCCCAGACAGGGAGCCTTCCAGAAATCTCATTTTGTGTTTCCATCTTTCATGTAGGAGCAGGCAGACCACCGTTTCACCTCTTACCTTTCTGATGTTTCAGAAAGAATTCTGCTCACCCTCAGTCATCCTTCCTTTGCTGTTTTGTTAACCCAAATAAAAATAGCACCTCACTTCTTTCTCCTGCCACACAACCCTCCTCCTTCAAGGGTATTTAAATGGGCGGCTCTCTCTTAATAGCCTCAAAATACCTTTGTTACCACTTGCATATTCCATCATTTTAATGAAATTACTTGCAACATAAAAATATCTTTCTTGTCTTTGGCACCTTTACACTGCCTCCATCCTTAATTTGAGATGTTTAATGTGAATTGCCTTTTTCCTTTCTAGTCTGCAACATGTCCAATATCATGAGGCATCCACCTAAGGAGAGAGTTTAGGCCCTTTAATTTTGTTCAATTTAATAATTGTAATGTCTGTGTCAGAGAAGAGAAAAGGAATTGCTGACTTAATAGTTTATCTTTTCACCTTTTCTTGCAATTCTACTTCCCATCCCTCCTTTCCCTCTTAATTCCTGGTTGGGGCTGCTCTCTCTCCTGCCCTCATCCCCATCTCTATACTGTCTGCCTTTCACCTCCCCCCTCTCTGATTTCTGGCTCCTCTTCCTGCTCCCTTCCTTCACAGGAACTTGGAACAGAGGCCTTGGGATACTGCATGGACTTCCAGGCCGTGCCAGGCTGTGGAATTGGCTGTAAAGTCACCAGCGTGGAAGGCATCCTGGCCCATAGTGGGCACCTGAACGAACAGGCCACTCACCTGAATGGGGTTGGCAGTGTCCCCTCAGAAATAGGTATCCCTTGCCTTTGTCTCTGCAGCTCAGCCTTCCAGGGATTGGATCCGACTGGGTCAGGTGGCCGTGTGCCAAACCACAGAGAGCACCCTGCCAAGCATGCCACATAGTTCCCCTGCTGTACAGAAAGGTGGCTCACAGCAGGTGTACAGTGCACCTCCCTCCCCAGGAAAGCCTGAAGTTTCTCTTGTGTTCTTTAATATCTCTGAATTTTTATTCCAATGGCAGACAAAAGGAGTCTGTTACATAAATCTATAGAGCATTGCTCATAATTTTGAATCTCTTTTTGCTCATCCCAAATTAGCCTGGCTTCTCATAAGCTACAAAGTAGATGGAAATTCTACTTTGTTCTTCCTGAACAGGAAACCTCCCATGCAATAAAATTCTGATGGGAAGTTTCGTGTTTACAGAGTTGGCAGCAGTCAGGGCGAGGTCTGTCTAAGCAAAGAAGGGACACTGCTTTGAGTGACAGCTGCTTTTGAATAATGGCATTTCTTAGTCTAAGGATAGCTTGGTAGCCATCAGCATAAAAGTATGGAAACACACTACTACCCCAAACCAAAAAACAACTGTGTCTAGTGTTTTCTCCTAAGTATGTTGGTAGTTGAGTCTTGATTTAGATTTTACTGTTAGAAGCCATCTGCCACCTTCTAGCAACTTAAAGCCCTAGGATGACCTTTCCATTTTTCATATAGGGACTGGTTTGTGCAGTGATGCCTAAGTTACTGGCACACATAGGAGGTGGCAGGTGAAAGACTCACCTAGCCTTTTAGGAGGTATAGCTTTAAAACTTGTCATCGAAGTAGACGGATTATTTGCTGGTTCACCTTGGGTCATCTATACCAAGCAGTGGTGACTCTAGTCACCACGTGCATTTGCTGCTGGAGAAATAACTACCTGAAAAAGAAGCAGCAGATTCCTGCAAAGGCAAATAGGGATACCCATAATGTTTGATATGTTTGTAACATTTTCCCACATAGAAAATGTGCCTTTTGAAGCCCCATTTTAATTTATACCCACGTGTTCTACACATTAATTATACTTTTCCCCCTGGTCCTTTAAGGATGGTGTTCTGAGAGGCTCTTAATAGGTTTTAGTTTCTCAGAATGGTTTAATGGATATTTTGCTGTTAAAAGGATTCCATAGTTTTTAGTAATTTCTCACAATGAAATTGTACTATTTAGGAATAACCACAAACTCTTTTGAACAGATGTAGCTCCCCAGACCTTCTCTGTGCTGATTGGGAACCGAGAATGGATGAGGCGCAATGGCTTAGCCATTTCCAGCGACATCAGTGACGCTATGACAGACCATGAGATGAAGGGCCAGACAGCCATCTTGGTGGCTATTGACGGTATCACTCTGCTCATGCCTCCCTCCTGCTCTTAGACATGAAGTTTCTTGGAGATGTCAGGCAAAAATAAATTGCGCCTTTTTAAACAAAAATAAATTTCCTCTCTATTAATTTTAGTTCTACTTTGTAAAAGATTGCATTGCCATCTTTTTCACTTCGTTCTCAGTCCCGAGGCCCTTTGCCGCACTCTCTCTCCTTCTTTACCCCAGAGATCGCTCTGCTCTGGCATCAGTCTTGCACTTGGAATTCTGTCTTCACCATCATTGTTTGCTGCTGTCCAAGCTGGCAGTTTGGAGTCATCCTTCTCATTCATCACTGCAGACAAAGGAGTTCACTTTCTAAGAGGTTTAACTCTAGCATGCCCTGAAATAAAGAGGTCCCTGCAACTTTCCTCAGAGCTTCTCAAGATTGAGTGTATCTTAGTTTATCTTGGGCTTTATGTCTCAGATATAGAATCTTACTTTGTTAATGTTAGTCTCTGCTAATAGAAGTAAAGCTGTATGCAAATAAGTAATTTATGTTACTATGTTTTGAATGCTCCAGCCATATATGTCATCTTTCCCATTCTCTTTTTTTTTTTTTTGTTTACCTCCTCCCACCACCAGGCCACCTCCTAAGTCCTTGTAAACCCACAGTCCCCTGGGCTCGACAGCAGACTCGACTCAGCTGAAGGAGTCATGCCCCTTACACATCACTCACCCTCGCTCTGCTCCCGCCACACCTCAGGCCTCAAAAGCCTTCCTGCTTCAGTATCTAAAGGGTTCACTCAAAAAAAAAAAAAAAATTATAACAAGTGTTTTTTGGCATAAGAGAAAAAAAGGAAGTATTGATTCCTTGGTGTTTGGGCATTCATCACTTCCTAAGTGACATTTGCTTTATTTGTCATATTTTCATAGCTAACATGTATTGAGTTATGAGCCAGATATCTGCAAAGTAATAGATGTGCCTTGCAGAAAATTCCGAGAGCTATGAAGAAGAAAATAGAATCACTCATTATCCTACCCCTCAGAGAGCCACTGTTGACATTTTGATAGTCCTTCCAGACTTTGTATGTATCTGTCAATGTATGTAAGTTTTAGAACAGGATCAAACCATATTATGTTCTATAACTGGGTGTTTTGCTTTTTGCGTGTAATGTGGTATTATGGAAACTGCCTCCACTCGTGAAACTGGCTCTGCTCCTTGGGCCGCACACGCCCTGCTGCTGTGCACTCACTGTGGGTGTTTCCCTCAGGGCTGCTCTGTGGGATGATCGCCATCGCAGATGCCGTCAAGCAGGAGGCCGCCCTGGCCGTGCACACACTGAAAAGCATGGGCGTGGACGTGGTTCTGATCACGGGCGACAATCGCAAGACAGCCAGAGCCATCGCCACCCAGGTCAGGGCCAGGTCCCTCTTCCCTTTTTCAAATTAAAGTAACTTGAAGCTCACAAAAGCAGTATAGAGACGAACTAAGGACCAGTGCACCCAGTCCTCAGCTTTGCTTCTCTGCTGTCCCCCTGGCTGGGTGCTTTTCCCTCCATGTGCTCCTACTGCCTCACACCTTGCAGCACATCCCCCCGGGAACCACCACGCTGCCCCAGCAGAGGTCACACCCTGGCCTAGGAGCTGTAATTCATGCAGGACTGGCTGCAGCCCTGGAAAAACAATTCTATCATTCTCCATTTCCCAGTCTTTGCAGTGAACAACAACAACAAAATCATGGCTTGAGGGCTGACATCAACAACTTTGTAGTCTTTATGTTGAAGGAATATTTTGCCAGCTCAGCTCTTCCCACTTGTGTGCGCAGATAAATGACTGATCCCGGGCAGTTCCCCTGCAGCCCTGCATTCTCAGTTTGGGCCCTGCAGACAGTGCTGCCGTGTGCTTGCTTGGCCCACCACACGGGCATGGCTCCTGTGTAAGTCCCTGAAACACATGTACACCCCTCCTCCCCAAAACCTGCGTAAAGTTGTATGCTTTTGAATGAATTGCTCCTTATGAGGGAAGCAACAGTACCCCTCTTTACTGAGTATTTTACTAATAATGGACTTGTTGAGTTACCCCCCTTCCTGGTTAAAACTTGTTCATCTATTCAACAAGCACTTATTAAGCACCACCCATGTGACAACAGGCTACAGAGAGGAGTGACGAGGGTACCTGCCCTTAAGGAGCTCCCGGTCCTGTGGGGACAGTGGAACAGAGACCAACTATAAATTAAGTGCTTGGTGCTTCATCAGAAGAGTGCATAGGACATGTGTGCACTGCCAACTTACCCTCCAGCCTGGCAGGGGCTGGGGATGCCTTCCCAGGGCAGAGGAAGCTTGAGTCAGGAATTGGCCAATGAAGGAGAAGGGGCAGGGTGGGGGAAAGCAAGCTGGCCTTTCCAGGGCAGAACAGGTAGCACGAGCACCGCCTGGGGATACAAAATAGCCATGAGTTGGAGAGCACAGGGATCTGAACCGTGCAGAGTTGAGGGTGTGCCAGCTGCGGCCACAAGGCAGGGAACTGGAGATGAGCAGATAAGGGAACCTCGGGAGGCAGTTTAGATGTTGTCCAAAGGGAACCAGGCTGGGGTCCACTGGAGGGTTTTAATCAGGAGGGTAAATAATTGTTTTGGAAAGACACTGAGACAGTATATGGAGAAGAGAGTGGACAGGCTGGGAAGTGGGCAGGGAGACCAGTGAGGGCCCCAAACCACTGCCTGGTGTTGGGATAGGATCAGGGGATAAATTTGCCATATGACCTGGAACCTGTGGGGCTTGGGGACCTGGAGGCTGGACCTGGAGGCTGAGGTGGGGGTTGGGCAGGATGACTTTTGGGTGTCTGCTATTATTTCTACCCTTTGCCAACACTGGGTGTTGTCATACATTTATTTTTTGACTGCTGTTTTCCATTTAGGTTGGAATCAACAAAGTCTTTGCAGAGGTGCTGCCTTCTCACAAGGTGGCCAAGGTCCAGGAGCTCCAGAAAGAAGGGAAGAAAGTCGCCATGGTGGGAGATGGGATTAACGACTCCCCAGCCTTGACCCAGGCTGATATAGGCATCGCCATTGGGACAGGCACAGATGTCGCCATTGAGGCAGCTGACGTTGTTCTTATCAGAGTGAGCTCACTGTGTCTCCTCCTTTCCCTTGTCCAGGCAGTGGGAGTGGTAAGGGCCATGGCCCACAGCTCCTGACTCACCAGTATTCCTCTACTTTAGAATGACTTGCTTGATGTGGTCGCTGGCATTCACCTCTCCAAGAGGACTGTCTGGAGAATACGACTCAACCTGGTGCTGGCGTTGATCTACAACCTGGTTGGGATACCCATCGCAGCAGGTAAGGTGATCTCACTGCTGGGCTTCCTTCGACTCCAGCTCTCTGCCTGTCTGGTTCCTGCCAAACTTAATGAGCAGCCCACCTTGCTGGCTGCCTGACTAGAAGCATTTTAGAAAGAGTTGATTTTATTATGATCTCTGCTTGTTAAATCTCTAAAAGTAAATGAGGAACCACAGAGATAACCCAAACCTTCACTCACTGTGGTCCTCTGTGAAAAGCTGCCAAGATGCTTGCCATTTTATTTACTATGGCCCTATTTTCTGAACCATTTATTACACATATAGTCTGAAAAACAAGCATTGTTAACAGTTATGGGGCACCTGCTACATGCTAGGCACTGGGATTGATGTTTTAGAACGTTCACTTGAAAATTCATCCTGCCCAAGATTTACCCTGTCTCACAGAAATGATCGTGGAAAGAGATGGATTTTTTCTGTTTTATAACTCCTCTCTTCCCTGTTCAATATTGTTACCAGATAGGAAAAAGATCCAGACACTTCTGCAAGGAAAGGTGTCTGCATGGGCTGAGGCCTAAAGTTTTTAAACACAACTTTCCCACTTCAGGTCCTCTGTTGTGCCTGAGTGGTTAATGGTGACTCGTGGCAATTAGCATGTCCGCCTCAGCATACTGTGCGGGGTGGGCCAGGCAAGTGTTCCTTCTGCTTCCAGAGCTGGCCCAGATGCTGATTCCCTCCTATGTTTGTGCCTCTGCCACAGACCTTTGCCCAGATGTGGGCTGAGCCTTTTGGCTGTGTCCTGGGGCGTGGCTCTTACTACCCTTTAAAAAGGTGTTTTGAGCCCTTGAGGGAAGACAACCCATCTAGACAGGTCTGTGGTCACCAGCAGTGTGTTGTCTGAGTGCTCACACAGTCCCCACAATGCTTCAGGACAGCTGGCTCCCCTGCCTGCTGCTACCCCTCTCGTCCCTGAGATTCCCTGCTCCCCTGGAGCTTCCCCTGAAACTGGTGATGGTGCCTGTCACAGGCCCAGGAAGGTCAGGGTAGGTGGAAGACCCCAGTCCCCTCGACAGTGCCCCCCCTGCCCAACTCTGAGACAGCCTGCCTCAGAGGCCTGCGGGCACGTGGTCACAACGCAGCAGCAGGGGTTCTGCATTATGCAGAGCACTTTATGGTGGGCCCTCTCCTTGCTCTCTCCTCTGGGCTGCATTGTGAGTGTTTTCACCCCTCACTCCCCCCCAGGTGTCTTCATGCCCTTGGGCATTGTGCTGCAGCCATGGATGGGCTCAGCGGCCATGGCAGCCTCCTCTGTGTCTGTGGTTCTTTCGTCGCTGCAGCTTAAGTGGTGAGTCCCCACATGGCAGGAGCATGCACTTAGGCAAGGCGATATTTGTTAGGCCCTTTCGCTCTGTATGCACAAGGCAGGTTTGGGCTGGCTGGTGCATATCCTGGGCCAGCAGTCGGTGTGTGCTGTTCTCAGATTCCTGATTCATTCACCTAAGGCAAAGGCCGAAGGGACAGCCCTGAGTTGGAGCCAAGTGTGTGTTTGTATAATGATTTCTTAGCACCATGATCAAATAATCTACCACTGAACAGTCATTGGGTGCTGGGCCGTTCTAGTTACTCTACTCAAGGCCTCTTATGTAAATAGAGTCCTGTGCTACTTAACCCCAGGGATGCGGTCTGAGAAATGCATTGTTAGGCATTTTGGTCCTTTTGCAAGCATCATAGAGTGCACTCGCACAACCTAGGTGGCATAGCCTTCTGCACAACTAGGCTATATGGTATTACCTATTGCTCCTAGGTTACAAGCCTGCACAGCTTGTTACAGTACAAAACAACACGCGAATAATTTAAGCACAAGAGAAAATGATGTAATCAAGAGATGCAGTGGACAGAAGATATCTGAGGTTGCTACAGTGTAGAACGGCATAATGTTTTACAGCAAACTGTTTTTCAATAAGTAGAAAGAATATGCTCTAACATTGAAAAGTATAGTATAGTAAGTATATAAACCATTAACATAATCATTTATCATCATTATCAAGTGTTATGCTCTGTAGATAATTGTATGTACTATTCTTTTATACTACTAGCAGTGCAGCAAGTTTGTTTACGCCAGCATCACCATAAACGTGTATTGCGTTGTGCTACAGTGTCACAGTAGCTAGGACATCTCCAGGCGATAGGAGTTTTTCAGTTCCATTATAACCTTATGGGACCTCTGTCGTATATGCGGTCCATTGTTGACCAAAACGGCGTTAAGTGGCCCATGACTGTATGTAGACACGGGATCCCTTTGTATTAATGTTTTTCCTTTTTAAAAATAGATGTTTATTTACTTATGCTTTCATTTAACAAAAGTTAATCACAGCCTGCGTGGCAGGCATTTGGATAGGAAGGTTCTAAATTGGGTGAAGTTTACCTGAACCCTGGGATTTTGATACTGCATGTTATTGAAAGACTTAGATGAGAGGCCTTCATCAGGCTTCAAAAGCCTGTGTCCAGAATGGCTCAAATGCTCTTGGATTCTTACTTTGCAGCTATAAGAAGCCCGACCTGGAAAGTTACGAGGCCCAGGCCCAGGGCCACATGAAGCCTCTGACCGAGTCCCAGGTCAGCGTGCACATCGGCATGGATGACCGGCGGTGGGACCCCCCCAGGGCCACTCCCTGGGACCAGGTCAGCTACATCAGCCAGGTGTCTCTGTCCTCCCTGAAGTCCGACAAACTGTCTTGGCAGAGCGCCACAGCTGACGACAGTGGGGACAAGTGGTCTCTGCTCCTGAATGACAGAGACGAGGAGCAGTGCATCTGAAAGCTCCAGGCTGGTGCAGACCCATGGGCCCATCTCCTAGCTGATCAGCAGCTCTAGACCCCCATGTGCAGCACCGACAGCCAGCTGCAGGGTGGATGAAGCCTTGGGCACTCCCACTCCCTGGACATTCTAGATCATTCCTCCCTGCAGCACGTGGCATTGTCCAGATGTGACTCCTGGGTAGGACCACTCTGCCTGGATCCCACAGGCATAGGGTGAGGCCTTATCCATGCTATTGGTGTGGGCTTGTTGGAAACCTTGCTAGACTCTAGGTAGAGAGGACAGCCAGCCCTCCTACAGACCTCTGCTTTATTTAGTATTTGGGATGGCTGCTTGTGAAATAAAAATCTCACCAGGACCAAAAACTTAGCTGAGCCTATCCACAGAACTCATGAAAAAGCTAGAACCTCAGTGTCATCCACCTTTTTACGTCGCCCATGAGCATCATTTATCTAAGACCACAGTTTACCTCAAGTGCACTCTTTAGTTTCTGCTAATACAATCTCTTCCTTTTCTGTCCTTGACACTGTCATCCTCATGGTCCCTGCTCCTGCTCTCAGACATTTCTCTAAGTGCAGGCGCCGTGTGTGCTGCTGCGTGAGTCAGCTCACTCACACGCCTGGCCAGAGTGTTTGCCAGGCTTCTCTTCAGGTTTGGGAGAGTTCATTCTTCCTTATGAGCCACTTCTCCGTGGAGTCTTGGCTTCACTCCATACACCTTTGTTGCCCAGCTGGAGTGAAGGTCTGAGAGCCTGAGACTTGAGAAGTTCAACTTCCTTTGGCATCCAGGTGCTTAGGCCCTGGGGAGGCCTGTGGTACTTGAAGCAGGTGTCCTGTGGAGGGAGGTTTGTGCCTGCAGGAACCTCCCTTGTGGCTTCAGGAGCTTCAGTTACATGGCCTGCTGTGACTGTCAGTTCATGGTGTCCAATGTAGAATTCATGTCAGTGGTGCCCCTGGTGTTGTGCAACTCCAAGGAAACAATGATTCCCAAACTGGAGAACATCACAGCTCTTCTCCATGAGCTTCTACTGCACGCTGAGTTGGTGGTGCTTTAGGAAAGAGGTGGCCACAACTTCCCAAAGGAAAAGCCCTTTGTAACTTTCAGTGGCCCTTTGTGATTGCATGACACTGGAGTGGCAGGAATGTGGCTAGTTTTAGACTTTGGAGTTGCTGTTGATTGACAGACCACATGGGAATAGACTAGTAGAATCATAATCTTAGAATAGGCAGAGCAAAGCCTATTCTAAATTCTAAGGTGAATCCCTTGTCACACACACAAAATAATTTTATTCATTGAGCATCAGTTATTTTCCAAAGCAATGTAAGCACTTTTTATAAGTTAACCTCTAATCCTCCCAACAAACCAACGAAGATATTATTGTCTACCTTTCACAGGCAGGGAAACAGGCTCAAAGAGACTAAGTGACCTGCCCAGGATCACACAGCCAGTCTACGTGCTAGAACAGTAGTCTGAATCCATGTCTGCTGGCTCTGAAGTCCTTTCTTTATCTCTACTTCATCTTGAATATTTTGCTTGATAAGAATGCTCAGTGGTTAAAGCGTCGGCTTGTGGGCCAAAGGGTCACAGGTTCAATTCCGGTCAGGGCATGTACCTGAGTTGCAAGTTCGTTTCCCAGCCCTGGTGGAAGCATGTGCAGGAGGCAACCAATAGATGTCTCACATCAGTGTTTTTCTCTCTCTTCCCTTCTCCCTCTCCCCTCCTTCTTTCCCTTTCACCTTCTCTGAAATGCAATAGAAAAAGTATGCTCGGGTGAGGATTAAGGAAAAAAAAAAAACTTAAAAAAAGAAGAGAAAAAGAATAAACAAGAAAAGGCCCTTGCTCCTGAAAGAATAAATCTGCCAGGTGATGTATTCATTATATCATCTTGTAATGAAATTTGATCACAAGGCCATCTCACCTTCCCTTGGATAGTTCATTTTTATTTTTGCATATAATTTAGTTTTTTCTGGATCTTATCCTCTGAAATCCAAGTGCAGGGTTTTGTTGTGTGTTTATTATTTTCAATCTTCCTTTTCCTCCCAGCCCCTTCCTGCCATGTGTCCCCAGTTGTCTTTATTCTTGGCTGTGTTTGGTGAATGTTTCTTGTTTTCTAACTAGGCTAATCATTTTCTAAAAACTCTAATTGTATTGATTTCCTAAAAAGCTTTTAGGGCCATAAACATGTTTATATACAAAACATGTTTATATACATGTTAATTACACAAAAATATTTATGTAATTGTACAGAAAACCTTTTAGATATTCAAAGTGTCAGAATTTTTTTTGTCAGATAAGAACAATTCCTACTTCAAAAACGTTCCATGCTATGTTAGAATAAAGTTTCTTTTTGTTCATCAAACTGCTTTTGGCTGGCCCTGTCTGAATGAGGAATGTGGTGGGGGCCAGTGTAGCACTGTCTTCAGTGAGAGCTGCGAGGGGCTGGCTTTGCTCTCAGTGCCTTTTCAGGGGGAGAGAGAGATGAGGTGTTAACAGTGGAGGCCTTGAGGGTGGCCAGAGCCCTGTGATCAGCCATCCCCAGCACTGTGTGAGCCCCTCTCCCAAATGCCTGCCTCAGTGGTGTGTGTGGAGAACTCTGAAGGGTCACCCACGTCAGAGTGTCTGTCCCACTGGGCCAGACAGCCCAGATTACACTTTAGTTGCATTTCTCTGGTTGAAGGTGTTGTCTACAAAAGGCTGTGATATTGAGGGGTTGATCCCAATTTAGGAAGGGATTAGATTTCTTTAGAAAATAGATGCTTTTTAAAACTTGAACAAATTTCCTTGATAGGATTCCACATGTAGCAGAATAAATAATAACATCTGTCTATTCTTGATACATTTTCTGTCTTTAAGGCCTTAGTGAAGAATTGTGCTGAGATCAATATTTATTTATTTATTTATTTATTTATTTATTTATTTATTTATTTATTTATTTTAATCCTCACCTAAGGATATTTTTTCCATTGCCTTTCAGAGAGAGTGGAAGCGAGAAACATCTATGTGAGAGAGACACATCAATTGGTTGCCTCCCACTCATGCCTGGTGGGACCGAGCCTGGTACCAAGGCACACCCCCTTGGCCAGAATCGAACCGAGAACCCTTTAGTCCGTGGGCCAGCGCTCTAACCACTGAGCAAAGCCAGCCAGGGTTGAGATCAACTCTAAATAAGTGGATGTAATAATTCTGGTATTTTCAAAAATGACAACTGAAAATTGACGTCAAAAAATAGATCCCAAATTTTTCTGCTGGTTTACTAAGGAATGAAATAAATGAATAAATAAATAAATAAATAAATAAATAAATAAATAAAGTGACCTTTATTTTAAGAAAATCCAGCATAGCAAAATCAGCCAATCAGGCAGGTTAATTAGAAAAAGATTATTTGAATTACAAAAGGACATTTTTTTCTTTAAAAAAATTCATGTCATTGTTTTAACAGATAAATTCCCTAATGCATAGAAAATTCTTGAGTTATTTTTTTGTGTACAACTTTTTCTTAACTGCGTCAGTTGTTTAAAAAAGGAGTAAGAAATGCGTATGCAAAGAAATGCTTTAAGCAACCAATCGTGCTGACTGTTTCCTTTCAGATTACCTGACCTTTGGGAAAGCTGATTGAGTATTGGAAAGTATTATGGAGCTGGTAGAAATGAAATCACTACTTTCCTCAATTTTCAGACTCAACTTGGGCAGGGAAATAAACACCACTGTGTTTGTTCCAGAGGGAGATGTCTACCTGTCTGCTGTCTACCCGTGTGTGAAGACAGTGACAACAGTTGAAATTAAAGGATAGAATATTAGAATGTTAAATAATACTGCAAAATCCCAGATTCTCCTTTATTCTATTCAAAAAGATGAATACAGTTGTAAAATCATCCAAGGGCTAAGATGAAAATGAGAATTGATGGAAGTTTAACATTTTTTCCTCTGAAAAGGAAATGATTATTATTTTTTCTTAATGTAAAAATAACTGCTTATAGCAAAAATGTAAGCATACAGAAATATATAAAGGGGGGAAAGACTATTATAATACCACCGGCCCCCATGAGAAAGGCCATGAACATGTTTTCATGGAGGGGTGTCCTTTGTGGGTGGACTGCATTGGGACACTGGGAGCAAAGCCTGCCTGCCCACAGGGAACCCAGCTCCCTGACCAAATTGTAGCCATTTGAGAGGTGCTGTAGCGGGTCTGGGATGGGCCTGTTGTGAACTGATGGTCGCCGAGTTCTCGGTATGGCCAGGCAACAGACATGGTTCAAATGCTGTGGGTGCTGCAGTAGGCTACATCAGTCTTGAGGAGCTGGTCCTCACAATGGCATTAAGAGCTGTGTGCTTCACTGTCCCATTTCCACACCTGGGAGAACCAAGCTGAGGGCAGCCAAGGGTCCTGTCAAGGACCCAGAGCCGGGAGGGTGTGAAAGCCCCCTTGACCTGCCACAGAGCCCCACTGCATTGTGTCCCCAGGCCACCTCCCTTCCTGCAAAGGAGACACAGGGTTCTTGCATTAGCAGAGGAGGCTGGGCTTCCTCACACCAGTCAGTGTTGTACTTGGGGCAAGATTTATGTCCTGTGGTAGGACAGTGTGGTTTATCTCTAGAGCCACAAGGTGTCTCTCTGACCAAAACAACCTCCCAGTCTGCAGCCAGAGCCCAAATTCTGTTGATCATTTTGATGCATCTGGAAATGCAAATAGACATTGTTCATCGAGATGAAAGTGTGGATCAGAGCTGGGGCTGGAGTTCAGCCCTGCCCTGCAGTGCCTTCAGCGGCGAGGTACTTACCTGTGTACTTGTGGAACAGGGTTCGGAACCTTTAGTTTGCATTTAGCCAAGCAGACATGTTGGGATGACTCATTTAAAGTCGACAATTTCCTTTATTATCACCTGTGTCTGAGCTTCATATTCTGGCAATTATTTTTTTAAGCTTGAACATTAAACAAAAATGGTTTTTAAGGGCTTACAGTGATTTTCAGTGGCCCCAAAGCTCCAAGTTTTAAGACTCCTGTGTTTGCTTGGGCTACAGGCCTCTACACCAAGGCCCTGGGCAGGACCCTGGCCCCAGCAGTGTCCATTACAGTGCTGGCACCAGGCTAGGGGTTACCTGCTCCCGACCACGATTTTCTCACCTGTTCAGCGAGGAGCACTGCCCTCTTCACTGTCCTGAGGTACGAGGATGGAAGGGGCAGTCTGCAGGAAACCATGCAAGTGCAAGGTGGCGATGGTTTCGGGTAACCTCCACAGGAATGGACATGTTGTCCAGTCTTCTTTAGATCTTGTTACAACTTTTAAAAATAACTAAAAGCCTCTGCTTTGTCATCTGTACAAAATGGAGAAAAATCGTTTACATCTCCCAGGGTTGTGGTGAGGATGTAAGGAGGTCATGGCGGGGCAGGAAGCGCATCCTGAGCATTTAACACATTAGCTGCTGCTGTCTGTACTGTATATTCTAGGCAGGGGAGGGGAGGAAACACAAACACAGCGTTTCCTTCCTGAGCAGATAAAACCATCAGTGTGCGTTCCTTGGCTAGGCTGGAGGAAGCGCCTACATATGGATCTGCCTCTAAGACCATGGATTGTCCAGCTGCTGTGCACCAGGCTGGACTCCAGTCTCCTGTGTCCTGGTGGTCTTAGAGCCTGACTCTCCACTGCAGCCTGCCCTGAATTCCAGAAAGGACGCCCCAGCCAAGGCCGTGCAGTGGTGGAGAGGTTAAAAACACCCAGCCTTAGAGATGGGCAGACCTGGTTCAAAACCTGGCTGTATCCCTTGAGGAGTGTCACTGCCTTCCTGAGCTGCTGAATCAGTGCAGGAGTGAACTCCCCCTTCACTGGCTTGTGAGGGCCAAATAGAACTATGGGCTTGAATGCCTAGTGCAGTGCCCGGTGCACGGTAGCCACTTCTTTAAGGGAGTATCGTTAGAACGACACTGACGTGAAGTTCCTCCTGTGAGGCGAAGACTCCCGGGACGGTTCCAGGATTGTCAAAATGGGATGCTTTCTCCTAGGAAATACTGACTGTTTGAATGATGCTGGTGCTCAGTGTGAGTTAGGAAAATGAATATAAAGAATGCTAGTGAACAAGAGCTGTGAGTAAAATCTTTTTAATGTGTCATTCCCGTCTGGTTTAGAAGGTGGGCTCTTGTCTCCTTCAACCTATCTGCATTATATTTAGGAATCTCATCATTTTCACCAATCATTTTTGAAGTCTCCCTTCTCTCCAGGGTAGAATTACATAATCTCAGGTATAGTTTCCTAAAGAATGTAGTCACACTTGATTAAAATAGAACCATCTTGCTCTGCTATTTCTGATGATTCAGCTTTAGGGGCTAAATATAAGCCCAGCGCAGAGGTGTGGCTGTGACATCATAGTTCTTCAGTCACAGAATAACCTGACAGGAGGGAGCAGGGCACTGAGTATCTGTTTTTGGAGGAATATATGTGTTTTATAAACTTCTGTTTTCTCCTTCCTGTTTAGTGATCAGAGGTAAGACTAAAATCCACATGGACCTAGAATCCAACTAAATTTTGAAGTTAGTTCTGGGGATCTAAAAGAAGCTTACACTGTCAGTTTCTTACTTGAGATGTACCTAAATTTGGGTCTAGTGAAGTTTCCTGTAATGTACTAGACACCTCAGGATGGGGGCTTTGTTTTCCATTAATGTACACACACTTCACTGCCAATTATTGCTCCCTTGTCCACTAGACATTCAGTGCAAGTGACTCCATGCATCCTCCCCAATTCACCTCACCTCCCGTCCTTACTCCTCTCACCTCCCCACCACAAGCATGGGTACACACATGCACACACAAACACATCCCTAATCTGCCCACAGAATCCTCCCATAGTATGACAGCCATCAAGTACAGAGGAGGGACCTTGGCGGCCTGGATCTTCTGAAACACTCCTCAGTGAGGGGGAGAACTTCGTGAGGTTCAAGTATAGGAGGAATTTGCTCGAGAGGAAAGGACATTAAGTCCAGGAGGTGCATGTGAAGGAGAGAGTGGACCACTTGTCAAGGACAAGGGAATGGGTTGAATAGGTGGAGTGGGGCCACACTGGAGAGAAGCATAACTCAGGCAGGACAGAGGGAAGCAGGGACAGCTGGGGAGGGGATCTCTTCTTTGTTCTCCCCCTCTGGCCCCCTTCCCTGACCAGTGCCTCCAAGAGTGTAGAGGTGGAGGTTCTGGGAAGAATAACTGGTGCAGACTTTGGCCCCTCCTGGTTTCAACCCCACTCCAGGATTGTGAAGACCCCTCAAAGTCTCGGCCTGCCCTCTCTTGGAACTGAGGGAAAGAGGAAGAGAGGCGTTGGAGAAGATAATGAAAGGCGGGGAAGAGTGTTCAAACTGTATCTTCAGACGGTTGT